TTACATTAAGAAATCAAATTTGACATTGATCATTTTTTGAATCTAAACTAAATCACTTCAACGCAATTGAAAATCAAATTTCCATTCAATTCGAAAATTCAATTCAATTTCCGTTACTCCATTAAAGCTCGAATGTTTTTTCACCTCTCCACTCATTTCCTTTGGATACTCTTGAAAATTCTTGGAAAATTCATTTCCTTTGATCGTCTCAATGATCTCCTTTTCTCACTTTTTGTTTGAAGTTTTCCTTACCGATTTCCTGGCCGCTTTGTGCACATTGCCCCCTTTTTCTCTCTCTCTCTTTTGATTGCCTACAAAAGTTTGAGTTTTTCCGTGAAGAAAGCTGAAGTGGCACAAAAAAAAAGACTCTTTTGCCTTTAGAAAGCTCTTTTAGTCTGTGCAAGTTCTAAAACACATTGTGACAAAAAGATGCTTAAATCGATACCACATTGGGCTTAGAATTGATTTTTTTTCAAGAAGATTTTCCTTTAGAATATTACAAACTACAAGCCCAGACTATAAACGCTTGTACAAACGCGTAGAATGGCTATTTTTACAAACAGTTTTTACCAAAAAATCGAGCCAACTTTGGGCTTTTGAATCACACAAAGAACAGAGGAATTTGCAATCTTTGAAGAACGATTTACATAGACAACATGTTATTTATTACAGTTTATAGTCTCTTTCCATGGGATAGGACTACAAACTTGGAAAAATACTTCATATTTCAGCGTAGAGGTGGTGGATTGACTTGATCTTCGTTCCATTCAAAAGCCCAAACTTGGCTCGATTTTTTGGTAAAAAATGTTTGTAAAAATAGCCATTCTACGCGTTTCTACAAGCGTTTATAGTCTGAGCTTGTAGTTTGTAGTGTTCATGTCTACTTTTCGTTATTTTTTTTGCTTTTTAGATCAACTTTTTTCACGTAAAAGTTTAAGAAACGGTTTTTGAATTAGCGAAATCGTTGCAGGCTTCTAAATCACTTCGAAATCTCATTTGTTTTCAAGTCAATCGATTTAAATGTTTTTTTCTATCGATAAAGTTGAAGCAAAACTTCCTGAACTAGCAATTGGCTTCCAACTAGCAATTGGCTTCCAACTAGCAATTGGCTTCCAACTAGCAATTGGCTTCCAACTAACCAATTACCCTTTTCGAACTCAAATTCAGCTAATTCTATGGCCGAATTTCCGTTCTTTTTTCACCAAGTGTCGAGAACAAATGAGCCGTGTAGAAAAGCCTCATTTTTCGAAAAGTTTTTTTTAAACTCAAAGGTTCCATTTCTCTCTTCAAATCCTTTTTTTTCCCTTTCACAAACAGCCGTCCTCAATTACTGGATTGCGCTGTGCTTTGTGGGAAAATGTTTTTTTTTTTTCGTTTCTCGTCTCCGATTTCAATGTATCCCTTTTTTCTGGAACATTTTTGAAATCTCAGGGTCAAGCGCAGTCGTTTTTTTTTTAGAACATTACATGTAAAGTTCTGTTTTTCTGAAAAAAAAAATTGATCTTTACAGATCTATTCTTTGTTATTGTTTATTAAAAATCAAATGCTATATTTCTTTTTGTTTTATTTCCGGTGAATTCGATTCAGATCGAATTAACACTTTTTTTTTCGGTTTATTTTCAGTTTATTTTTGATAAAATATATGAAAATGTGTTTGTTATCTTGGGATTTAATTTAATTTAAATTTAAATTAGCATATTCATTGAATTGTTTTGAATTTGATCGATATAAATTCTGAATATGAAAAGGACAAAAGAATGAATTCATTCATTGAAAAGTACAAAAGATTTGATAACTTTAAAAAGCCTTTTTTTAAATAAAATTTCCTTTTACTAGAACAATTTGGATTCTTTTTCTTTCGACTTTTTTTTATAAAGATCTATTTGTAAATTAAAGCTAATTAAGGTCAATTAAAGAAGCTTTTTATGGGAAGGTGGGGGCATCGTTTCATGTTATTTATATGAATTCATGTGTATTAATCTTAACTCTAACGCACTTTATTTCAGATCCTGTATCTGAATCCTGAATAAAGTATTGATCAATATATAATTTAAAGCTAACTGAGATCAATTATAGAAGCTTTTTATGGAACGCTTAAAGCTATCAACCCTTTTCATGTTATTTATATGATCTCATGTATTAATCTTAAATCTAGCGCACTTTATTTCAGATCCTGTATCTGAATCCTGAATAAAGTATCTATCTAGTTATAAATGAAAGCTAATTAAGGTCAATTAAAGAAGCTTTTTATGGAAAGCTTAGAGCTATCAGCCCTTTTCATGTTATTTATATGAATGCATGTGTATTAATTTTAAATCTAGCTCACTGAATCTGAAGCCTGAATAAATTATCGATCAATATATAAATTGAAGTTAATTGAGATCAATTATAGAAGCTTTATGGAAGCTATGGAAAGCTTAGAGCTATCTGACCTTTTCGTGTTATTTATATGATCTCATGTGTATTAATCTTAAATCTAGCGCACTTTATTTCAGATTCTGAATCTGAATCCTGAATAAATTATCGATCAATATATAATTTAAAGCTAATTGAGATCAATTAAAGAAGCTTTTTATGGAAAGCTTAAAGCTATCGAACCTTTTCGTGTTATTTATATGATCTCATGTGTATTAATCTTAACTCTAACGCACTTTATTTCAGATCCTGAATAAAGTATCTATCTAGTTATAAATTAAAGCTAATTAAGGTCAATTATAGAAGCTTTATGGAAGCTATGGAAAGCTTAGAGCTATCAGCCCTTTTCATGTTATTTATATGAATGCATGTGTATTAATTTTTAAATCTAACGCACTTTATTTCAGATCTTGAATCTGAATCCTGAATAAATGATCGATCAATATATACTGAGATCAATTATAGAAGCTTTTTATGAAAGCTTAGAGCTTAACAGAGAAAGAAAACATAACTAAATATTCTATGAATTGTTTTAGCTTCGTTTTCTTTTTTTGAAATTCATCCTTACATAGATTTTCTCAATCTCTAAGTCCAAAGAATTCGATTTGAAATGAAAAGGATTTCATATAACCCAACGCATTGTCACCTAATCCATTTTCAATTTTTCATAAAATTTCTCTTTTTTTCACATATTTTTCAATTTAATCTTATCGATTTTATTCAAAATCTTATGAGATTTTTGGCTAAAATTCTCACTTCCTACAATTTTATTTGTCTACAAAGCCTACCCACTACAAAGCCTACCCACTACAAAGCCTACCCACTACAAAGCCTACCCACTACAAAGCCTACCCACTACAAAGCCTACCCACTACAAAGCCTACCCACTACAAAGCCTACCCACTACAAAGCCTACCCACTACAAAGCCTACCCACTACAAAGCCTACCCACTACAAAGCCTACCCACTACAAAGCCTACCACTACAAAGCCTACCCACACAAAGCCACCCACTACAAAGACTACCCACTACAAAGACTACCCACTACAAAGACTACCCACTACAAAGCCTACCCACTACAAAGCCTACCCACTACAAAGCCTACCCACTACAAAGCCTACCCACTACAAAGCCTACCCACAATTTCATTTGCCTACAAAGCCTATGTTTTTTAAACCGTTTTTTCAACCATTTTTTAATTCAAACATTCTAATATTTCAAAAAACAAACAAACATTTAAAAAATTCTTGAATACGCTTCTTTGATTTGATCTCTTTCACTATTAAATCTTATTTTAAAAAATAAAACGTGTTCAGAGGCATTTCACCAGAATTACTCTTTATAAAACTAGTTTAGACAAATTCTTCTCCTTTAGTTATTCTAATAGATTGCAACTCTTTGATCTTGCCGCCTTATTATCGATTTAGTGGAATGCTTTCAAATTGTTAAAGGCATTCATCCCCGACTCCCTTTTTTTCTGATCTCTTTGAATTCTCTTTAAATTCGAGAAACTCCAGGCCTCCAAAAGGGAGATTATTCTCGATTTTCTCATACGCTAACTTTTCGTTTACGTTTCTCATACGCCAACTTTTCGTTTACGTTTCTCATACGCCAACTTTTCGTTTACGTTTCTCATACGCCAACTTTTCGTTTACGTTTCTCATACGCCAACGCCAACTCTAAAAGCTCCCACAGTTTCTTTTTTAATCGAGTTATTACATTGTGGAAGCTTTTATCCCTTGATGTTCGTGATATTCCCACCTTGGCTAGATTTAAAGCCGCAATTTCGGGAATTGATTTGACTGCTCTGTGATTCTTTCTTCAGGTATCTTTTTATCTTTTGGGTGTATTTTGAGTGGTGTCCTGGGTGATTATTGTAATCTTTTTTTCGCTATACAACTGAATAAAGCATATATATTTTGTAATAGTTTTGCAAAAGTTTAACGAAAGTTTCGTGGAGAGTTTCAAGACTTTCCAATCCAATCAATCGTGCTAGCTTTGTTACTGTTAAAGATTATATTTAGTCGTATTAGATAATCGTTTTCTTTGTAGTCTACCCAATAAACCTTTCAAAAACTCACTCAGCACATTAAAGTATTCAGTTAATGGTGGGCTATAGGAGTAAAGAAGGCATCTCTGCGGGTGGTCATCGTTGGGAGTAAAGGATTGAAAGTCATCAAGATTCCCCTATGTGAAAAGTCATTTCATTTACATAATCTCTCCTTTCACACAACTCTTTTCATCCCATCTTTTCCCAAGAAAGCTTCAACTTTGCCTTTTAGTAGCTGTAAATCTTTCCCAAAATTGTCATTCATTTAGAATTTTGATGTTAGTTTACTATTTTTTAAACCCATTTATTCGCTTCTAATGCAACAGTCGCTTCTAATGCAGTCGCTTCTAGTCGCTTCTAACAATCGCTTCTAGTCGCTTCTAACAGTCGCTTCTAGTCGATTCTAACAGTCGCTTCTAATGCATTCATTTAAACTTTAATTGCTCAAATTCTAATCGTTTCTTCAATTTTCAATTGTTTACAACTAGTGTGATTACCTTTTTTTTTAGTTTTTCTAATCCCGTCCAACTTTCAGATGTCATCCGATTATCGATTGATAATTTTGATATTAACGATAATTTCTGGAGTGCTCACCAACGGGCGTTCACTCTTTGCTGATTATGAAGATGATGATGAGAGTGAGTTACTCCCAAAAGAGTCCTGTTACTCTTGTTACTTCCAAAAAGATTTCTGTTACCCCTGTTACTCTCAAAAGAGTCCTGTTACTTCTGTTACTTCGTTCGAATTGTCTTTTTAGCTATAAATTAAAAGCATTCATACTTCTTTAAAAGAAAAATGAATTTTCAGATCGACCAAACGTCGCCTGGGTGCCAATCGTGTCTCGAAATTTGTCTTCTTCCTCACAAATCTATCGAGCTTTTCAAGAGGTGACTTCTAGAGAACCGAACAAAACCCAGAGAATCGCGCAAATGTTACATGTGGGTGGGATGGGTTTGATTGATTGTGAAATGAATGAAGTCCACCACAAAGACGCACTTTTTCTTTACAATTAGCACAAAGCATGATAAATAATTGTTTTTATTTTTAAACAATACGGATTTGATTAGCAAATAAGTTACATTTTTAAGTTTTTCTTAACTTTTCTTAACATTTTTAAGATTAACAAAGAAGTTACAGTAAGTAACTTATTTGCTAACTTGATAAGATTGATAAGTTCATTTCTAAGTTTGTGGTTTAGCTTTGACACGAGCTTTTTTAGTCGGTTAAAAAGTTGCAAATGGTTTTGGGAAAAGATTTCTGTACTTCCATTGCTTCAAAAAGATTCCTGTTATTTCTGTTACTCCCAAAAAGATTCCTGTTACTCCCAATAATATTCCTGTTACTCTTGTTACTTCCAAAAAGATTCCTGTTACTCCCAAAAGAGTCCTGTTACCCTTGTTACTTCCAAAAAGATTCCTGTTACCTCTGTTAATCCCAAAAAGAGTCCTGTTACTTATGTTACTTTCAAAAAGATTCCTGTTATTTCTGTTACTTCCAAAAAGAGTCCTGTTAAAATTCAAGCTCAAATCCCAATCGATTTACATTATTAGTTTCATTTTACAGTTCTCAATCTAAGCGCTGACTAATTTTAACTATAAATATCTAAATAACATCATTTTATATAAGAAACGAGTTATGGGCTATAGAATTAAAAAATTAAAATTAAAATTAAAGGCAATAACTAGACAAAGCTCCTTGAAGAAATGAATGAATGAAGTTCAATGTTTAATCTGATGAATTCAAAACTTCACAATAAATACCCATCATTAAAATCATCAAATGATCGACCCGATTCCCCTATAATCATCATGAAATAAAAACTCTCCACTCTCGAAGAGTTCTTTTTACACAAAAGTGCACTCGTTGTTTACGCATCGTTGTTTACGCATTCGTTGTGTATTTGTGGTGAAAGAGAATGCCAAAGCCCGCAATATTTTTCCCTGAAAATAATCGCTTTTCAAATTTCAGGATTCCTATGATCGAAATGAGGATCGATCGATTTCGAGTTCTGTTTCGATTTCCCATTTTTCTTTTATTTCATTGTTGACTTTATGGAAAATTTTGTGATTTTTGTTAAAAAATTGTGATATTATTAAGTTCTTTCTTCTTCTTCTTTTTCAATTATTAGGTTGATGCAAAAGTCTTTTTCGTTTTTTTCGTACTTCTGTTAAAAAGTAACAAATTCACCAATTAATCTATAGTTTGCTCTATAAAAAAAGTGTTTTTTTGTTCAATTTGCATCTTTTTAAATGAATTTCGGTTCACTTTCAAGCAAATTCGAGAGTGAAAAACGCCTTTTTCGTAAAAATCTATAAAAAACTCTACGGAAAAATTGGCTGAATGAATTTCTCTGAAATTTTGGCGAAATATCAAACGTTTTTTTTCTCTATCTTTTATCTATTGACACGAAGATAGGTTTTCTTTAGCTAAGGTGTCTAAACCGCATCATCGAGTTAGCCCTTTTTGACTACCCGACTTCATACTCTCAAGAAAATCCAGGCATTTCTTTAGCTAAGGTGTCTAAACCGCATCATCGAGTTAGCCCTTTTTGACTACCCGACTTCATACTCTCAAGAAAATCCAGGCATTAAATATTTTTAAACCCGTTTTAATGTTATTTTGCAGAAAAATAATTGCTTTTTCTAATGAAATCAACCGTAGTTTAATTGGTGCATTTGTTGGCTTGAAACGGCAGACGAAAAAAATGAAAAAGACTTTTGCATCAACCTAATATTATCTTTCAATAGATAATAATTGATGACTATCTTCCAATTATTATCCTTCAATTATTATCTTTATTATTATCATCAATTATTATCTTTCAATTATTCTAAACTCTTTTTTTTTCAAACAAGTTTCTATTTTAAAAAATTTATTAGGCTTTAAGGAAAGAATCACTTTTAATACAAACTGTATATCTTTAAGTTAAATGAAAAATTCATTCATTCAATCGCTTCTTTATGTTTATTCAACGGCGTACTAATTTAGCCTAACTTTAATCAATAATTTAAACACTTTTTTGTAATCAATTTTTAAAAACTCAAATCATTTAAAAAAAGCAAAATTTAAGCTAACTAAATCTTATTTAAACTTTAAAATTGCACGACTTTAAGGTAATCAAAAGATAAGTTGAAGTTAGGTTAAATTCGTGCCATCTTGGTTAACTGTAAAAATTCATTCAATCTTTTTCTGAGTATTTTACTTGAAAATAGACAACACAAAGAAAATTTAAAAAAAGAATATAGACAATAGTCAAAATGATATACCGGATTCTCTCTAATAATAGTGCACAGCATCGAGCCGAGTTGGTGACGGTTTTACGGTTTCCAAGCTTTCCCAGAAGCTCAACACTCAAATCCCCCACAAGATCTCATCGTCAGCTACATTTTCCGATCCACATCGATTGGTTCTGATAAGCGCTTTTCGAGATTTTGAGGAATTTAAACGACGATCAAGGTGCACTACTATTAGAGATAATCCGGTAATTTCTGTTTCTGTTTCTGTTACAGGTTGCATGTCATTTGGCTTTGCATTTGCATGTTTCTGAGCAAATCCAGAGATCAAACCAGCGATCTAACTCTAGTTTTATCTGGTTTTTCTGAAATTTTACATACCGTATTCTCTCTAATAATAGGTTGATGCATAAGTGTTTTTGTTCCTTTTCGTCTGCCGTTTCAAGCCAACAAATGCACGAATTAAACTACGGTTGATTTCATTAAAAAAACCAATTATTTTTCTGCAAAATAACATTAAAACGGGTTTAAAAATATTGAATGCCTGGATTTTCTTGAGAGTATGAAGTCGGGTAGTCAAAAAGGGCTAACTCGATGATGCGGTTTAGACACCTTAGCTAAAGAAAACCTATCTTCGTGTCAATAGATAAAAGATAGAGAAAAAAAACGTTTGATATTTCGCCAAAATTTCAGAGAAATTCATTCAGCCAATTTTTCCGTAGAGTTTTTTATAGATTTTTACGAAAAAGGCGTTTTTCACTCTCGAATTTGCTTGAAAGTGAACCGAAATTCATTTAAAAAGATGCAAATTGAACAAAAAAACACTTTTTTTATAGAGTAAACTATAGATTAATTCGTGAATTTGTTACTTTTTAACAGAAGTACGAAAAAAACGAAAAGACTTATGCATCAACCTAATAGTAGTGCACCCCGGCGAGCCGAGTTGGTGACTATTTTACGGTTTCGAAACTTTTGCAGAAGCTCTAATCTAATCCTCAACACTCAAATCCCTCACAAGATCTCATCATCAGCTACATTTTCCGACCTCACATCGATAGGTTCTGATAAGCGGTTCTCGAGATTTCGAGGAATTTAGGCAACGCTCAGGGTGCACTACTATTAGAGAAAATAAGGTATTTAGAGTATTGTACTGATTGCAATTCTATTGTATTTTTACTTCTTTAATTGACTAAATATCTATTTTATAGATAGTTTTAAATATGTAAGTGATGATGTCATCAAATTTCTCTCTGAATCATGCACAAAAATAGTCTAGTACTAATATTTTTCTAAACTTAAACCCATTCTTTTGCATAATCCGCTAAAATTTAACCAAGAGAACACATTGAAATATGAAAAATAGAAGAGTGATGAAAGTTATTGTCTATTTTTCTCAAACTAGTTAATAGAAAAGTGTCGAAAGTCTATTTTGATCATTTCTTTTTAGATTTCTAATAGAAACTTGTTCTTTTTTGATGAAAATTTGATGTTTTGATTTGATTTGTGTTTGATTCTTTTCATTTCAATTTCATCCCACTTCTATTTGTTACCGGTACTCGCCGATTACCAACTTTATCTTCATTCTTTTTCTCTTTCTTTACTTTCTTTTTCTTATTCAATTAAATATTGTCAATCATTTCAGTAAATAGTTCTTCTTTTCTTTTCTTTTCTTTCTTTTCTTTTCTTTTCTTTTCTTTTCTTCATCTTCTCATCACATTTCTCCATTCACTTTCATTTCTTAGATCATTTTGTGTTCGGAAAATAAATGATATTATCTTAAACATATTTCTGAAAGACTCCTTTATCACTTAAATTAAAAATACAGCAAATTGGTGTTGTAAATTTGATGCAAATCTCTTGTATGATAGTTGTATGATACGTTTGAACAATTCATAGCTTTGATTTCTTTTCAAATTACTGATCTTGAAGCGATCTGCATTAAATCGTTAATGTCTTGATTAATCCTAGTTTTAGAAAACGGTTTTTAACCAGATTAAGCAAGATTAAAAGCTAAGCTATAAAACCTGGTTTTGATCTTGTGGACCACATAAGAGACTCAATAAAATCAACAGCTTCAATCGATTCCTGAGTTATACCCAATTATGTAAATCACTGGCGTGGTCTCCTTTGTGCGATCGCGACTATTGATCTTGAAGCGATCTGGATTAAATCGTTAATGTCTTGATTAAACCTAGTTTTAGAAGGCAAGATTAAAAGCTAAGCTATAAAACCTGGTTTTGATCTTGTGGACCACATAAGAGACTCAATAAAATCAACAGCTTCAATCGATTCCTCGACCTTGAAAACCTCATCACAATTTTTCATTCACTTTCATTTCTTAGATCATTTTGTGTTCGGAAAATAAATGATATTATCTTAATCAGTTTTCTGAAAGACTCCTTTATCACTTAAATTAAAAATACAGCAAATAGGTGTAGTAAATTTGATGCAAATCTCTATCTCGAAGCTTACGAGTTCCGCTAAACATTTAAAACAATTAAACCCGAGTTTCATTTGATAAACCCAATAAAATGAATAGCTCCAATCGATTCCCCGACCCTGAAAACCCCCGAGGACAAATTTACAGCTCAATTTCTTTTTTTAAATCATCTACAAAGTAAATGACTGGCGAGATGTCCTTTGTGCGGTCGCGTAATCACTCTCGACCTGGCAAACCCCTTTGATACAGGTTGCTTCTCTTTTGGAATCTTTAAAGTGATCGTCGGCTGAGCCCTCTCGATTTCTCTGCCTCATTATGTTCAAACTTTTGAGGGGATTTTTGCCTGAAATTTTTTCATAGCCCTCTAGAAATTCTGCATTCCGTTAAACTCTGAACTACCTAAGATTCGAGTCTGAAATTGGCCTGAAAAGCTGATTTCATCTTCTTTCTTTCATCCTTTAAATAAAATATAGTTTCCAGTAATCAAATAAATAAAATACCTGCTAGAAAATCCTGAGCCTTGTAGTTAGCCAGAAATCTTTACCCGTTTTCCCCTTACCGTTTCATTGCGTCTTTTCTCGGATCTTTAAATTATTTTTCGCTTTTTCAAAAACACTGATTCACCTTTGAAAATAACCCGATTTCTTTGGAAAAGAGAATTCAAAAGTTCTCAGTTTTTCTCTAAGAATTTTTCAAATCATATTTTCGAATAACATCGCGAAACGTTTAAATTTAGACCAATCAAATAAACAAAAAAGAATTTTGTTGACAGTTTGGCAAATAAAGCGACAAAGTCGACGATTACTTTGCATTGATTGAAAAAGTGACTCACTATCAGCTATGGCTAAAATCGGGAATCTCTGCACATTGGAAGGATTACTGAATTTGATACAAGTGGTGGGTTTTTTGGCTTTCCGAAATTGGATAAATTATTGAAGTCAAAACACTAAGAGTGTTTTGACTATGCCTTTTACAAAATTGAGTATTTACTAGAGTGTGTTCCTCGCGAGTAATGCGTTTTTTAAAACCCACACTTGGGAAAAAAAATACCTTACTTTTAGCAAAAATTATTGCAAAAAAAATGACGATCCACGCATTATATACGACACTTTTTAAAGATATTCAGCTGTTTAACTGATTTGGTGAGACTTTTTAAAGATATTCGGGAGTGGGACAAATGCGACCTTTTTTTTGCGCACCCGGACATTTGCGCACCTTTTTTTCCGCACTTAGCCCATTAGCGCACCTTTTTTCGCGTTTTAAAAAAGCTCTAAAAAGCTAAAAGCTAAAAAAGCTAATATTAACCAATTTCTATTCCAAAAGTTGTTTTTCTAGGTAATTTTAGGGTGTAGAATCGAAATTTTGACATATCAGAGCTTGTGGAACCAATTTGAAAGACAAAACGGCTAGATCAAATTACAGAAATTACAGAAATTCAAATTGTCGATTTTTCTCTTTGTATAACTCCGTCCGTTTGTTTCCACAAGCTCTGATATGTCAAAATTTCGATTCTACACCCTAAAATTACCTAGAAAAACAACTTTTGGAATAGAAATTGGTTAATATTAGCTTTTTTAGAGCTTTTTTAAAACGCGAAAAAAGGTGCGCTAATGGGCAAGGTGCGCAAATGTCCGGGTGCGCAAAAAAAAAGTAGCATTTGTCCCACTCCCGGATATTCAGCTGTTTAACTGATTTGGTGGGGCTTTTTAAAGATACTCAACCGTTGAACTGATTTGGTGGGAAATTCCCTTCCAATGGAAAGATATGGGATTTACTCGTCGTGTAAAGAGGATTCCTCGTAGTTACTCGATAAATCGACGAAAAAACATCGATTTATCGAGTAAAAGATACTCAAGCAACTCTTACTCGAGTAATTACTTACTCGCGAGGAACACATCCTAGTATTTACTGTCTAAGAGTTGAGAAGACTTTTTTAAATTTTAAAGAAAAGTCTTGTCTTTTATTAGGTTGACTAGACAAAAGTTATCATAAATGTTATTCAACTAGTGGTTTTGAACATCTGTAATCTATCTGTAACAATGCTTTCTTGATTCAATTCTTAAGTGTTTCTATAGAAAAATGCTTCACGAGTAAGACTGACAATGATCAATAAAGTTAGTGTTAAGCCATATCACCCATTCCAGCTCGCAAGCCTTTCCGCAATCATCGCCAGCTCGATCATCTGGACTCAAGGAAATGTGGCACTCTTCATTTACTATTCAGTAATGATTTAATCTGCTTAATAATGATTCTTATCAATTAAAAAACATCTTTAGGGCTATGGCTGGCAACTCTTAATAAACGTGATTCTCATTGGAACGTTGATTTTCTCGGTTTTCCTTCTCTTTCTGAATGTGCTTGGTGGAAATAATTTGTTGGAAACTATTGGAAAACCAAAGGTAAACTAATCGAAAGGTAATTTCAAAGAAAACTAATCTTAAAAACCTTTAGACAATTTTCGCATATCTATTAGTTTTCTTGTTGTTAATTCTTGCGGACGCTTTGGAGATTTGGTATTGCACTTTTACTTTTCCAAGTGGAGATAAATGGGAGTGGGGAGGCATCTATCGACCACGATTCATCGCCACAGCGGTAGGAATTTCTTTGATAAAAGTTTTGAAAGGGAAAAATCTAAAACAGCTGAAAAGAGACAAAAAAAATGAGAATATAAGAAGACGGGAAGAATAAGAGTAAACAAAAGTATGTCAGAAGCTTCTTTCTGAATGTTACTACTTCTGTGATCTTAAAGCAGTCTTAGCAACTCAAAAGGAGTGTTTTTTTCAAATCTTGGCTTTATTTTAAAGCTTGACTTTACTGCTGATCTAGGTACAGAATCTAGAGCTTCAATCTAACTTCTGAACTGAAATTTTCATCTTTTATACCTAGTTGTAATCATAAAGGTCAAGTTTCTAGACTAGCCTGTTATTTAGGTCAGTATAAAGCTATTTCTAGACTTGAAAACAGAAGACCCTTGTTTAAAACAGAAGACTCTAACTTCTGAACTGAAATTTCATCTTTTATACCCAATTTTAATCATAAAGATAAAGTTTCTAGACTGGCCTGGTACTTAGGGCAGTATAAAGCTATTTCTAGACTTTAAAAGAGAAAACTCTTGTTGTTAGGAGGCTATTTAACTACAAAGCAATAGACAAATAACTTTGAGGCAAATTAATCAAATTTACAAGCGCTATTAGTAAACTAATGCTAGGATAATTTTTTTTACAACTATAAGGAGTACCTTTGGTAAATTTCAGGCTTAAATGCTAGATTTCAATAGTTTTGCAAAGCTTGTGGGGGTATAATTGTGAATGAAGTCATTTAAATAAGTCAAATGATTCCGTGAGTCATTCAAATAAACTGCAAGTGGATGTGTTTTTTAGTCTTAGTATTGATAGATTGGCGTTTATTTGAATAAGGAATTAGTAGTGAAGCTTTATTGTAATTGAAATGAGCTTTACATAAATGAAGAAGAAAATCAATGAAAGATGACTACACAGAAAGAAACATCAGCTAAAACTCTTGAAAAAGAATAAGTAAAATGGGGTATTTTTGGACATGACTTAGAGGGATTCAAGGTATTTAACATAACGATTAAAAGTTTTTGGTTAGAAACGAGTTGAGACTCTCAACTTGAGAGTGGAGTCGTGTCTCCGGAATTCCTTTCCCCAATAGCCCTATCAAAAGCAAACATTCCCGCTTTTTCTTAGCTCGATTTTCACAGCCTATTCCGTCATACGTTTTTAGACTTGTAAAAATTTCAAAACTTTTCAGGTTTTCATCGGCATCGATTTTTTATGCTATGGGATTCTATTGATATTAAATTTCCGTTATTAAATTAATTTATTACGTTCTGTTGCATATTATTAGACTTTTATCTTTAAACTTGTTTTATTAAAGTAAAAAAAAACATTTGTGATAAAGTTACCTGATGACTTAGAGGGATTCAAGGTATTTTAACTTAACGATTAAAAGTTTTTGGTTAGAAACGGGTTGAGAGTTCTAAAGGCTATTCTGATTAGATTTGGTCAAACACTTTGTACGTTGTACTCCGACAAGCAAACTTGATATAGAAACAAAACGTATATAATCTCAACAATGATTCCGTGAGTCATTCAAATAAACTGAAAGTGGATGTGTTTTTTAGTCTTAGTATTGATAGATTGGCGTTTATTTGCGTTCAAATTAATCAAATTTACAATAGTAAACTAATGCTAGGATAATTTTTTTACAACTATAAGGAATACCTTTGGTAAGTTTCAGGCTTAAATGCTAGATTTCAATAGTTTTGAATGGCTTGTGGGTGTATAATCATATTTAAAGTTAGATTGTCAATGAAGTCATTCAAATAAGTCAAATGATTCTGTGAGTCATTCAAATAAATTGCAAGTGGATGTGTTTTTTTAGTCTTAGTATTGATAGATTGGCGTTTATTTGAATAAGAAATTAGTAGTGAAGCTTTATTGTAAGTGAAATCAGCTTTACATAAATGAAGAAGAAAATCAATGAAAGATGACTACACAGAAAGAAACATCAGCTAAAACTCTTGAAAAAGAATAAGTAAAATGGGGTATTTTTGGACATGACTTAGAGGGATTCAAGGTATTTAACATAACGATTAAAAGTTTTTGGTTAGAAACGAGTTGAGAGTTCTGAAGGTTATTCTGATCAGATTTGGTTAAAGACTTTGTACGTTGTACTCCTACAAGCGAACTTGATATAGAAACAAAACGATAAAGGCATACTAAAAGGGTTTTCGTTGGAAAATCGGTGCCAGAAGAGCACAAAGCAAAGCTTGAGCGACTTAAAACTTCTAATACAATTCAACTCAAAACAAAGTTCCAATACAGTTTTTGCATTCACTATCTTTACAAGCTGTTTATTTCATCGAAATCCAATTATTCTTTCTAGATTGGATTGCTACATGAATCACTTAGTTTCCCAATATCTGATGTGTTTTCTCTAATCAGAATTATTGAATGTATGAGTCATTGAAATGCTATCAGATACAAACCTTTACGAGTCTCTCCTCTCTTTTCTTCCATTCCCCATATTCTTTATTCTTTTCTTTTCTCGATCAATTTCTCTTTTCTCTTCCTTTGCTCTTCCTTTCCTTATCGTGCTCATTCCTTTCATGGCCCGCCGCCTAGAGGCGGTGAAATCGAAAATCGAACTGAAAGCTTTTGTAACCATGCAAATTTTTCATTTCTTCTAACTTTAAATTTCATTTTACATTTATTTTTCATTGAATAAACTTAATCTTACTCGGTTAGACACTTGATTTTAGATTAAGAACAATCAAACAGATAACTTTACACTAAAATTGTTTGACAATAAAGCTTTGACTTTATCCAAACGTCAACTTAGCCAATTCAAGTCAACTACCGTATTTTCTCTAATAGTAGTGCCCGTGTCGAGCAGAGTTGATGACTATTTTACGGCTTCCAAGCTTTTGCAGAAGCTCAACACTCAAATTCCCACTAGATCTCATCGTCAGCTACATTTTCCGCCCCCACATCGATAGGTTCTGATAAGCGGTTCTCGAGATTTCGAGTAATTTACCGTATTTACTCTATTAGTGGGGTCCTCTCTAATAGTGGGGTCGTCTGGAGGGGGTTGAAAAAATAGTGGGGTCCTCTCTAATATTGGTAACGAAAGTGATACATCAATTGTTGATCTCTTGGATTAGTTCTTTTACTGTTTGTTAATGTTTTGTTACGGTTAAAGCTAAATAAAATATGAAGCCAAACTTGTTTTTTCAAGAATTTCGGAGAAAAATTGATATCTTTTCAACTTAAAACTTTGGTTTTATGTTCTTTTAAATTTCTCTAATAGTGGGGTCCTCTCTAATAGTGGGGTCGTCTGGAAGGGGATTGAAAAAATAGTGGGGGACCCCACTAATAGAGTAAATACGGTAAATGCACTACTATGACAATCAAGGTGCACTACCATTAAAGAAAATACGGTAATTGTCATTTCTCTTTTCATTAATTTTACTTTAATCTTGTCTACTTGCAAATAATCAGTCCGTTAAACAAATGCTCAGGATATCCCAAAATTATTGTATTATTTTAAATTGTATTATTGTATATTGCAACAACTATTATTACTGGTTATCTCTCTCGTTGACTTGATTGAAATATTTTTGTATCAATCAATAGAAGAAGAAATGACGAGTCTAATGATACTAAAACTATTTCAATTGGACAACTCAGCGCAAAGCTATTTGAGTTTAAAGTTAGATTGCCCATGAAGTAGGCTGAAACCAATTGTCAAATAACTTTGAAAGTTTAAATTTAAAGCTGAATTTCAACTTCTTAGCTTATTTTATTTATTAAATCTTAGAGGGGAAGATTTACTTTAAAATAACTATCATTAGTTTGTTTAAATGTTATTTGAGCTCTTGAAATTAAAGAAAAGCTTTTGGTAGCTTCTTGAAACAATCTGAAGGTTAATTGAGGTCATTTTTAAATATATAAACTATTGCTTGTTTTTTGAGTAATAAGTTTTTTTTTGATTTACTTAATTTTTATCTACAAAAATGTTGCCTTAAAATCTTAATTGTTTCAATTGTTTGTTGATTGTTAATTTAATTAACAATTAATTTAATTAACAACATAATTTAACTAATACTTTTACAATAAATCCATCTTACTTAGTAAATTATTTGAAATATCCTTTACTTCTACAATAAATTCATTTTCATTTTGCTAATTTAAAGCATCGACATCTCAACATCTGATCTGACCTCAAGAAAGCAAAGATGGGCCTCGAAGCGATCGCCTCGATTCCCGGGGTGCTCAGCATTGTGGCGACGGTATTGATCTAACTGATTCCATTATTCTGATCATCATCTCAATTATAGATTAACAACTTTACTTCAAAAAGTCTATAATCACTTGACTCTAGGTCCCTTTTCAACAAATTTCTCACTCACCATTTCAACAATCGATTTAAATAGCATTCCTTTCAGCTCCTGAGCTCCAGCTCCTGAGAATTATTCTCTATAGGCTTCATTTAGGTTGACGGTAGCGTCTATAATCTATTCAAAAAGTATTCAAAAAGTCGATACTCACTTGACTTTAGATCCCCTTTCAACAAATTTCTCACTCACCATTTCAATCGATTTAAATAGCAAGATTGACTTAAATCTATTCAGGTCTGGATTAAATCAATGAACTTTCAGCTGCTGAGTTTTGCCGAATTATTCTCTATATGCTTCATTTGGGTGGACGGTAGCGTTTACTGGTACATCTACATTGACGTGAGTATTAATGATTCTATTAGGCTGATTAATGATTACTAATCACTGACCGTGTTGGTCACCTATCTTCATTAATCATTTTAGAAACGGTCGACCAAAGCATAAACGATTTATTTTATTCAAAAACCCTATCTTTTTTCTATAAAATCCTTCTCAAGAGTTTTAAAAGAGCGCTTTTTTTAAGCAATTTCAATAGGTGAGAAGGCGAGTTGTCAAAATTAACCCGGTTATGCGATTTAAGCCTTTTCTTTTACAGAAACCTACCGTATTTTCTCTAATAGTAGTCCACCGAGCCGAGTTGATGACTATTTTACGGCTTTTAAGGTATTCACCGAAGCTCACCACTCAAATCCCCCACTAGATCTCATCGTCAGCTACATTTTCCGCCCTCACATCGATAGGTTCTCATAAGCGCTTTTCGAGATTTCGAGTAATTTAAACGACGATCAAGGTGCACTACTATTAGAGAGAATGCGGTAATTACAATTGTTTAAAGATATACGCAGAGTTTACAGATATTACAGAGACACAGCTCTTTCTATATACAGTATTCTCTCTAATAGTAGTGCACCCCGGCGAGCCGACTTGGTGACGATTTTACGGTTTCCAAGCTTTTGCAGAAGCTCTAATCTAATTCTCAACACTCAAATCCCCCACAAGATCTCGTCGTCAGCTACATTTTCCGACTTCACATCGATAGGTTCTGATAAACGCTTTTCGAGATTTCGAGGAATCTAGGCAAACGGCGCACTACTATTAGGGAAAATAGATATAGGTTATCAAAGGTGGCCAGATTCAATATATACAGTATTCTCTCTAATAGTAGTGCACCCGGCCGAGTTGATGACTATTCTCCGGTTTTCAAGTTTTCACAAAAGCTCAAAACTCAAATCCCCCACAAGATCTCATCGTCAGCTACATTTTCCAACCCCAAATCGATAGGTTCTGATAAGCGGTTTCCGAGATTTCGAGCAATCTAGACAACGCTCAGGGGGCACTACTATTAGAGAAATACGGGATTTTGATGTAAATAGAAAAAAAATATAGAAAGAGTATAGAGGAATTTTCAGAAAAATTCTTCACACTGCTTTAGAAACGAAAAGAAAGAAAGAAAATTTCTTTATCTTTTACTTCGAAGAATTTTAAGAGAAATAAGAATTCCCCTTGCGAATTTGAGCCAAATTTTTGCCTAATATCAGACAAAACATTTGCTTTAAATACCTAAAATTAAACCCATAATACTTATTTTGAAAAAAAGTCGCTAATAAAAGAAAAAAATAATGAGCAATTGTTGGAGTGAAAGAAGGATTTGAATTCGAATTTGGTTCACAATTTGTTAGTCAATGGTCAATTATTAGGTTGAGATTTGAATTGAAAATTGAATTGAAAACAAATTCAAATGTAAATCCTTGTTCCAGCATTACGGATGGCATCTTCTCTTCGCTCCATGCGTTTTCACCGTTTTCGTCTTCTCAGTTTTTCTTCTTTTCTCCATAATTTTTGGAAGAGATCTTGTTAATACATATGGAAAGCAACTTGTGAGTTTTAAATGCAAATTTTTAACCTTAATTAGCTTTATTTTTAGCTTAATTTGGGGGTGGGACAAATGCGACCTTTTTTTGCGCACCTGGACATTTGCGCACCTTTTTTTTTGCTGGAAAAGGCCTTAGGCAAGGCCGTAGAGCTTCGAAAATATTTCATATAAGGGAATCGTGTGCGTAGATTCCGAATTTCGACAAATCAGACCTCGCTGACACGTCAAATTTGGGCTAAAAGGCAAAAACTACGCAACTTAACGCTTTTCCGCAGTTTTTGCCTTTTAGCCCAAATTTGACGTGTCAGCGAGGTCTGATTTGTCGAAATTCGGAATCTACGCATACGATTCCCTTCTATGAAAACATTTTTGAAGCTCTACGACCTTTCCTAAGGCCTTTTCCAGCAAAAAAAAGGTGCGCAAATGTCCAGGTGCGCAAAAAAAGGTCGCATTTGTCTCACCCCCCTTAATTTACTTTAAGAATCACTTTCCAGCTTTGCTTTTTTTCAAATCTACAAAATAAGAGCTTTAAAAGCTAAGAGAGATTTCAGAACTTACTTTTTTTATACTTTTTTTTAGACTTTGATCTGTTACGGTGTTTGCATGGCTTTACTCTTTGTTGCTGGTTGTTTTATCGCTTGGTATGCGTCAAAAGCGAGTAAAGCAAAGAACACTACACTAAAACCTCGATATATTGCAGCATCGGTGAGTTGCATAGAAAAATTAAAACTTAGAACTTAAATTAGTTCTTTTAAAAGATCTATAGATTTTAAAGTTTCTATTTTTCTTTAAAATTCAAATGATTCAACACTTTTTCAGATATTCGATTGGGTGAATTTCCTCGTCTATCTCGCGCTTTTCGTTTTAACAATGCTATTCCAATAGAAATCTCTATCACATTTGATCTTCATTTATGCCTTGTATTTACGGTTCTTTAAGAAATAATAAACATAATTTACTTAAAAGAAAAAATTAAAAGCTTTAAAATCAGAATGAAACTTCTAAATCTTTGCATAATTCTGGAAGAAATTTGAAGTCTTCTGGACTTGAAACAGAAATTCGAATATAATTTCCTTTATTCTAAAGTTTATTTACTTTATTTATAATAATTCAAATTTAAAGCCATTTCAAGAGGTGAGAAGGCGAGTTGTCAAAATTAACCCGGTTATGCGATTTAAGCCTTTTCTTCTACAGAAACTTACCGTATTTTCTCTAATAGTAGTCCAGCGAGCCGAGTTGATGACTATTTTACGGCTTTTAAGGTATTCACAGAAGCTCAAAACTCAAATCCCCCACTAGATCTCATCGTCAACTACATTTTCCGCCCCCACATCAATAGGTTCTAATAAGCGGCTTTTGAGATTTCAAGCAATTTAGGCAACGCTCAGGATGCACTCCTATTAGAGAAAATACGGTAATTACAATTGTTTACAGATATTACAGATACGCAGAGACAGACACAGCTCTTTCTATATACCGTATTCCAACTCTAGTTGCAAACTAATTAGTTTTTTTTCCACAAACTCTTTCCCAATAGGCAAAACTTGGAGTTTTTAAGAGCATATAACAATTACTATATTTTCCCTAATAGTAGTGCACCCCGGCGAGCCGAGTTGGTGACGATTTTACGGTTTCCAAGTTTTCACAGAAGCTCAACACTCAAATCCCCCACAAGATCTCATCGTCAGCTACATTTTCCGACCTTACATCGATAGCTTCTCATTTTTGAGATTTCAAGGAATTTGGACGACGATCAGGGCTCACATTACTATTAGAGAGAATACGATAGTAGCTTAACACACATTGATCAACTGTCAAAATACACTCCTTTCACCATAACTTTTGTTTTAAGAGATCAATATACCATATTCTCTCTAATAGTAGTGCACCCTGCCGAGTTGATGACTATTTTACGGCTTTTAAGGTATTCACAGAAGCTCAAAACTCAAATCCCCCAAGATCTCATCGTCAGCTACATTTTCCGACCTCACATTTGATCTTCATTTATGTCTTGGATTTACGATTCTTTAAGAAATAATAAATATAATTTACTTAAAAAAAGAATTAAAAGCTTTACAATCAAATGAAACTTCTAAATCTTTGCATAATTCTGGAAGAAATTTGAAATCTTCTGGACTTGAAACAGAAATTGAATATAATTTCCTTTATTCTAAAGAATTAACATTCCAAATTTTATTTACTTTATTCATAAGAATTGAAATTTCAAATTTCATAGCAAATAGTTGATCTAAATAAGAATTTACCCAGGTCGAGGTGAGTATTTGTTGAGTATTGTGGTGGAAAGGCAGTTGGGTATCGAATATCCGTTCAAACCTATGAAATGCTGAGTTCAAATTGATGCTCTTTCAATAATTCAATCAATTTGTGAAATTTCAAAGTGCTTTAGTTGATTGAATCATTTTTTATTCATCATTGCTTTGTCATTGCTTTTCATTTTAGTGTGCAGAGCTTTTAGAATCTTAAGCTTTAAAAGCTTTATATGACTTTAAAAAGTTAATTCGAGGTACACCTAGCGAAAAGTCGAATTTAAGGTTTTTAAAATATTACAGATTCAATAAATAACATTAAATCAAGAAGAAAAAACGAGAATTACAAAAAATCTTTACAAAAAAGATCCAATCCTATTTTTTTTCTCTAATTTTTCTCCATAATCACATTTTGTTACGAATCCGCAATTTTAACAAACTTCTATAAGGTTTTGAATTTCCTGTTTAATTTGTTTGATCTTTTTTTTGTCTTAAACATGATCATATTCATTAAATAACTTTAAAACGACTTTAAAAACGACTCTCAAAAACCTTAAATTGCGCTTTTCGTGACTCTCAACTTTGTAAGTTTATATGAAGATTCTAGAAGCATCAATCAGTTAGAGAATGGATTTGGTTAGAGAAAAGATACTTAAAAATCATCTCTAAAAATATCATACAGATTCATTGAGTTCTCGCTGAGCTAAACCCTTAGAAGTGATTCGCTATGGTCACCCTGTTTAATTTTTGAGCTTCATAATCAAACTTTGTTACGAATCCGCAATTTTATCAAACTTCTATAAGGTTTTGAATTTTCTGTTTAATTTGTTTAATCTTTTTTTGTCTTTTTGTGCTTGTAGATATAGTCTGGCACTCGTGGATTGCTGCGTGATTAGTTGACAGTCTCTGCCCTTGAGGCGTTTGCGGAGTCATATCGAGATTTGTTGCCAGTTTCCTGCCCTCGGTGACTCTACTGCCTAGCGTGATCATATTCATTAAATAACTTTAAAAACGACTCTCAAAAACCTTAAATTGCGCTTTTCGTGACTCTCAACTTTGTAAGTTTATATAAAGATTCTAGAAGCATCAATCAGTTAGAAAATGAATTTGGCTAGAGAAAAGATACTTAAAAATCATATCTAAAAATTTCATAGGGATTCATTGAGAACTTGCTGAGCTAGACCCTTAGAAGTGAGTCGCTATGGTCACCCTGTAATTTCAATATTGAAAACTTTAAATTTGAAAAGCCAAATGTTTTGATGATTCGAAATGATTCCAAATTCAAACCCACTAAAGCCATTTTCAATTCTTTAGTTAAAAAAAGATAAAGTCTGTATCAAAGATCGGTAAAATGTTTTAAAAAATTCATCTCAAAGCATCCACTGTCCATTTTAAATCGAAATGATTCCAAATTCAAACCCACTAAAGCCGTTTTCAATTCTTCAGTTAAAAAAAGATAAAGTCTGTATCAAAGATTGGTAAAATCTTTTAAAAAATTCATCTCAAAGCATCCGCTGTCCACTTTAAACTCAAATCAGCGTCAAATCATTTCTAGAGCTTTGTATTTTGATTTTAAAACTCGAGAACCTCTCTGGAAATTGTCAAAAGTTGATTAACATTTCAAAGCATTCATCTGTCTATTCATCTATTGAGTTGCCTTCTCATCGATGAGTTGAAATGAAAGAGGTGGCACACCTCAACCCCTTCTCCGTCCACCGGGCACCCGGCATCCCCTCCCTTTCCCCATTCCCTCCTTCACCTATTTGCCTGTTTGTTCTGCCTCCATCCCGTCTTTTTCTTCTCATTTCTCATTTCTTCTTTCACTTCTTCACTTCTTTCACTTCTTCATTGAGTTCATCAAAAAGCACATAAACCTGTCCTCTTCTTGATACTCTTGCCAGCTTTTTTTTTGGCGAAATCTTTTATCATTGTTTACTTTTAAAGAAATTTTGAAGCTTTAGTGAATTGATTTTAAAATCAGCATTTCTTTAAATCAACTTTCTTTCAACATAGATTAAAAGATTCCCTTCCTTTAACTAAACACATCTACTGAGGCCAAATCGAGTTCGAGATTGATTTGACTCACCATTCAAAGCCAAATCTAAGCCCAGATCTTGTAATTCCATGTCATTCAGTAAAAACAAAGTATAGATCCAAATTCAGCATCAAATTCTGAGTTGAATGGGTTAAATCTCATTCAATTTGAACACATTTGATGAGTCAAAGTCCAAAGTCATTCATCAACAGAAAATTCAATCGTGCAAGCCAGACTAGCTCTAACATTTCCAGCTTTGCTTAATCCAAAAAAAGTCAGGCTTCTCTTATTTACCTTTCCACGGTATTTAGCAAGTCTTTTATAAGATTCTTATTAACAAAAATCATAGACTGAACGGAAAAAGACGTACCGTAAATACTGTAATAGTACCCCACCGCCCTCGTACAGTCGCGTAGTCGCAAAAGTTTTTTAGTAATTAATTTTTTTTCAAAGCGCCCGTACTTTCAAAAAATCCATCTTTAGCATCAAAAAATAGCTGAAATACAGGGCTATTTTTTGATACCTAAGCGCACATCGTAGCATAAACCAGTGTCGAGAAAAACTCGTTCAAAGCTAGACTACACAACGCTCCACACCGTCATTATCTTTGGCATCAAAAAAGCGTCTTTGGTATCAAAAAATAGCCCTGAACTACAGCTATTTCTTGATACCTAAGCGCACATCGTAGCATAAACCAGTGTCGAGAAAAACTCGTTCAAAGTTAGACTACGCAACACTCTGCACCATTAATTATGGGGGTGGGGTACTATTACAGTATTTACGGTAGGTGTGTAAGTCGAAGCTGTAAGTTGGTGTGTAAGTTGCCCATTTGGCGACAACTCTACGAGAATTTTCTCACTAAAAGTCTTGTCATCGGTATTCGAATTTCAAGGATTTATGTTGTAATTAAATGTTCGCCTCACTTTGGTAAAAATTATTTGAATAATTTCAATTGGCAAACGATTTTTACCATTCTAGATCGATTTCTTTCAGGTTTTTTTTGAAGAAGACGAACAAGAAGAACAAGAACTTTATTCTTTAAGTCATATTCTTACCTACTCTTATGACTAGTACCCTTATTTTTCAGTTTTACAATGTATCAAACAGAATTGTTTACATTGTGTGTAAAAAAATCTATTAAAAATGTTCAAGAGTTAGACTTTTTGTAAGAAAATAGTAGAAAAAGTGATCTTTTTGATTTGATTCTAATAAAATCTGTTGTTTTAAAATAGTTAATTGTTTTTTATAAAAATCTAATAATCAAAATCTCAAAAGTTTTGTGCTAGAAAGTTTTCAATTCAATGTGCTTCAAAAAAAATTCAATGTGCTAGAAAGTTTGTTTACTTTGAGCACAAATCACACAATTGTAAGTAGCTTGGTTCTGTTGTTAGATCAACATCAAAGTATTTAGTTAAGCACTGCTTAGCACATGAGATCTGGATGATGAGATCTGGATGATGAGATCTGGATGATGAGATCTGGATGATGAGATCTGGATGATGAGATCTGGATGATGAGATCTGGATGATGAGATCTGGATGATGAGATCTGGATGATGAGATCTGGATGATGAGATCTGGATGATGAGATCTGGATGATGAGATCTGGATGATGAGATCTGGATGATGAGATCTGGATGATGAGATCTGGATGATGAGATCTGGATCATGATATCTGGATCATGAGATCTGGATCATGAGATCATGCCCATTAGATCATGACCATTGGATCATGACCATTAGATCATGACCATTAGATCATGACCATTAGATCATGATCATTAGATCAAATCATTAGATCAAATCATTAGATCATGAGTGCTTAACTAACTGATTCATTGCTACTTTGGCACTGGTTTTGGAATTCATTGTAATTGATTGTAGTGGTTGGAAACAATCGTTTCATTTCACAAGTAAACTTATCGTTAGGTAATCTTGAGTAACGTGACTGTCTCCAATAAAATGTTATATTTGCTTGATAAAACTTTGCGAGCTTCTCACTTTAAACATAATCTAATTTTTCGCATAAAGCTATTCTAGATCCAAAGACACTAAGCAAAAAAATCCTGAAGGTTTTGGAAAATTTGATTTAAAACGATTAATTTACTTAAAATAATCAATTTACTTAAAACGACTACTTTACTAAAATAACGCGACTAAACGAGAATTTCTAAATTGTCTAGAATTAAATGATTTGCAGAATGATTTGCAGAATGATTTGCAGCATGGTTTGCAGAATGTTGCAGAATGGTTTGCAGAATGTTGCAGAATGCTGCAGAATGATTTGCAAAATTTCTATTCAAAAAATAGACAACCATGAGTACGGTAACAACACAAAAAAAATACAATACTACTTTTGCTCCTAAGTTCATCGATCAAAATTTCAAAACTCTCTTTTCTCGATTCTGATCGGTCGATGCTGAGTCGAGCGGTTTATTGAAGAGTTTTGTGAAAAAAAATGAAAGAGAAAAAGGCAAGTAGCGCTCGATTTTGCTCTATTTATTTGTGACTCATTTTTCATCCAGTAAAGTTTACTTGAAAATCGAGGTGACTCTTTTGAGTGAACCTAACGCCTTTTCCCGTGAAACTTTCTGCATCTTGACGTGTTTTGTCTGCTTGATTCAGCGATTTGAATGAATTCTGATTACTTACTTTCACTTGAATGCTATAATTTATATTAATATAATGATTATAATGCTTTAATTATAATTATAGAATGATAGAATGATTTAAATGCTTGAATTGTGACAGTTAAAGCTCAAGATTTAATGAAATTGTTTCATTTTTGTCACTTTTTAAGCTAAAGATTATTTTTCTGAGTTTCAAAAGAGTTATCTTTACTGACAAAGCTTAGATAACTCATCTGGTAGTGTCAATCACTTAGATAACTCAGCTTAGATAACTAGTAGATGAGCTGGGACCATTCCTTAATGTAGTAGATGAGCTGGGATCACTTCTTAATGTAGTAGATGAGCTGGGATCACTCCTTAATGTAGTAGATGAGTTGGGACCATTCCTTAATCACATCCCAGCTCACCAACGCCGATTGATTCAGGACCGAGCTGATAGAATCGACCACGCTGATTTTGATTCGACTTTTCTTTTTGATTCGATTTTGGTTCTGAATCGACCACATGATTCCGTAAAAATTAACAGCTTTTGCAAGAAAATTAGCAGTAAAAAGTTTCTACAACTTGAAGAATTAAGAAAAAAAAATGAGAATTTACTTCTTTAGACAAAGAATTATTGAAATTTCAGGTATTCCTGATACTAGCTTATTTTTACAATTCTCTATATATAACAAACAGCTCTTTAATTCCCATTTAGCTAATAATAATCTTTTTTTGAAATGAAATGTTTTAAGTTTTTTTTGATTTTCCTATTTTGAATAAGCTTTCTCTCGCCTTTCCCCTTGATTTTCTCTTTAAAAATCGATGATAAAAAGGATTTATTGACTCCGATTGCACCTTTTTCTTCACAATTTTTATTCTTGTTTTTATTTCAAAATCATTTTTAACTAGATTTGATCTTAATTGTTATTTACTGAGGATCAAAAATGCCGCTAGTGGATGTAAATCGGATACTAACTCTACCTGGAATCGTCAACGTTTACAGATATTACAGATACGCAGAGACAGACACAGCTCTTTCTATATACCGTATTTTCTCTAATAGTAGTGCACTCTAGCGAGCCGAGTTGATGACGATTTTCCAGCTTTCAAAGTTTTCACAGAAGCTCAACACTCAAATCCCCCACTAGATCTCATCGTCAGCTACATTTTCCGACCCCACATCGATAGGTTCTCATAAGCGGTTCTCGAGATTTCGAGGAATTTAGGCGACGCTCAGGGTGCACTACTATTCGAGAAAATACGGTGTATTGAAAGCTCTAGAATATCTACAAAGTCAAGTTAATGTCCGCGATTGTATAATATATGTAGATCTATACTCAAATACCGTATTTTCTCTATAATAGTACCTCGCCAAGCCGAGTTGATGACTAATTTCCAACTTCCAAAGTTTTCACAGAAGCCAACACTCAAACCCCATAGACACGTCAACACATTTTCCGACCTCACATGCCCATTTATGCCGATTTAGATGCAATATATTTAATATATACCGATTTTCTCTATAATAGTACATCGCCAAGCCGAGTTGATGACTATTTTACGGCTTCCAAAGCTTTCACAGAAGCTCAACACTCAAATCCCCCACCAGATCCCATCTACCTTTTTCTTCACAATTTTTATTCTTGTTTTTATATCAAAATAACTATTAACTAGATTTAATCTTAATTGCTATTCTGAGGATCAAAAATGCCGCTAGTGGATGTAAATCGGATACTAACTCTACCTGGAATCGTCAACATTGTACAAGTGGTAGGTTTTCTTTTAAAAACTTTACAAAAAACTATATATGAAACTAAAATTATATAAAAAAAGCGTTATTCAGAGTCAGTCGGAGTCAGAAAATTCAGATAAAAGCGTTATTTTCAGGCTTGCGGCTTTGCAGCACTCTTTGCCAGTTCATTCGTTTGGCGTGACACGGACACTTTCTTTCAATTCATCTATAAGGTAAAAAATTCACAAAAAAACACAAAATGAATGACGGAAAGAGAATGAATGACGTTTAGGGTTTTGGTTGGCAAACGTTGATCGTTTTCATTCTACTCATCACATGGATTTTTGCGATCGCAATGTTACTCAATAATTTGACGGGAAGAGATGTTCAAGAGACTGTCGGAAAGAGAAGGGTTTGTAATTTCTGTTTTCAAAACAAAAATTCTTATAAATTCTTTATTTAAAGGAATAATTTTATCAATATTTGATGAAATTTTAAAGAAAAAGACTGCTTTTTGAAAATTTTTGATAATTTTGATACTTTTAATACTTTTGACTATTGTCATTTGGATTGGAAAACAATTTGCATTTAGAAATGGATGACGTAAATATCAGAAGTTTGCCATAGCTTGCTTCTGACTCTTACGCCGCTTATTTTGAATCTTATAGCCTATCTTATAGCCTATCTTATAGTCTATCTTATAGCTTATCTTATAGCTTATCTTATAGTCTATCTTATAGCCTATCTGATAGCCTATCTTATAGCCTATCTTATAGTCTATCTTATAGCCTATCTTATAGCTTATCTTATAGCTTATCTTATAGCTTATCTTATAGCCATCTTATAGCTTATCTTATAGCTTATCTTATAGCTTATCTTATAGTCTATCTTATAGCCTATCTTATAGTCTATCTTATAGCTTATCTTATAGTCTATCTTATAGCCTATCTGATAGCCTATCTTATAGCCTATCTTATAGTCTATCTTATAGCCTATCTTATAGCTTATCTTATAGCTTATCTTATAGCTTATCTTATAGCCTATCTTATAGCTTATCTTATAGCTTATCTTATAGCTTATCTTATAGTCTATCTTATAGCCTATCTTATAGTCTATCTTATAGCTTATCTTATAGCTTATCTTATAGTCTATCTTATAGCCTATCTGATAGCCTATCTTATAGCCTATCTTATAGTCTATCTTATAGCCTATCTTATAGCTTATCTTATAGCTTATCTTATAGCTTATCTTATAGCCTATCTTATAGCTTATCTTATAGCTTATCTTATAGCTTATCTTATAGTCTATCTTATAGCCTATCTTATAGTCTATCTTATAGTCTATCTTATAGCTTATCTTATAGCCTATCTTATAGCTTATCTTATAGCTTATCTTATAGCTTATCTTATAGTCTATCTTATAGCCTATCTTATAGTCTATCTTATAGCTTATCTTATAGCTTATCTTATAGTCTATCTTATAGCCTATCTGATAGCCTATCTTATAGCCTATCTTATAGCCTACCTTATAGCCTATCTTATAGCTCATTTTCCAAATCACTATTATCAAATCGCTAAATCCTTACGAATAAAAAAATAAGAGCCTGATTCGCTTAATATTAAATTATATTATGCTTTTTCAGACTCATTTTCTATCTATTCTTTGCGATAAGTTCATAGAACTAAATAGAAATTGCTTCTTTTGAGCGGAGATTTTACTGGGTCAAGCTTTAACTTTAAATGTAAATTCTATTAAGCAAAGTGAACGGCCTAGAAACACAAGAACCAAATTTTTCAAACCGCTTTGTACTAGACAGGGGAAAATTCCAATCTCAACCTGATTCTACTTCCATTTTCTTAGCCGTTTCTTTTCCGATTCCTCTGACATTTTGTCTACAAGTATAGAATGTCAATTTCTATTTGTAAACAAAATTTTAGAGCAATCGGTCGAGAAACGACCGAGAAAACAAAGGTGGAATTAGGTTCGGATTGGAATTTTCCCATATGTGTACTGATCTAATCAAACGTCATGCAAGCATTCATCCTATTGAACACAATGCGAGATTATCAAATGGTTAATTATTTAGTTGCTAATCGTCTACGGAATTTGCCTCGTTTTATTGATAATCTCGGCGTCACTCGAATCGTGGTACTGTGATAAATCAAAGGGGCATTTCTATCATGCGAGATTTGTCGCAGTGACGGTGAGTTTTGAGATTAAAGTTAAGGCTAAAAGTTAAAAATCAAAATTCAAGGATTTTAAAAGTAAATTAAATCAATTCTAGCAATGAAAAAACAGAAAGTTAAACACTTTGATGATTAGTCGATTGATTTTAGCTCTGTCAATTTTAAATTAGTTTTTAATGTCATATATACACGTGTCTAATTGTAGTTGTGTTTGTATATCAATTATCTTTCTTCGTCTACGCTGTTCAATCTGTTTGCATTGTCACTTTTCCTTGTCGGATAAAGTATATATATATGTTGTGTCCGATTTAGATTTCCGTCCGATTTAGATTACGGTCTATATTGGACGTCCGATTTAGACTCAATCTAAATCGGACGTCTTATATAGATTGAACAATAATATAAACATGTTTAGTATATGTTCTTAAGCGTTTTCTGTAGTTTTCTGCATTTTTCAAAGGTCTGTTACTGTCTTTTTCTGAAAAGAAAACCCAACTATGAAATAATCAATAAAAGACCTTTGAAAATGCAGAAAACTACAGAAAACGCTTAAGAACATATACTAAACATGTTTATATTATTGTTCAATCTATATAAGACGTCCGATTTAGATTGAGTCGTCCGATATAGACTGTAATCTAAATCGGACGTCCAATCTAAGTTCAATCTAAATCGGACGTCCGATTTAGATTGAATCTAAATCGGACGGAAATCTAAATCGGACACAACATATATATATATTTGAATCTTTGAATCAAAGCAACTGAATCAATAACCTATCATTGAAGTCATCTAATTCAATCGAAATAATTTGTTTCAGATTTTCAATTGGATCCTCGTCGCTTCGTATATCGCCTTGATAGCCCTCACGATGTTCTTTGCTTAATTGAGATCAATTTTTCACAATTCTAGATTTCTTACGTTAAATTTTGATTCACAATTTTCTTTCCATTAGATTCATGCAGTCTTTATAGTTTTTTTTTCAGTTTTGTTTCCATAAAAAAAGAATTCTTTATCAAATTACTATACTATTAAAAAGATCTATAATTTCTCTAGAAAAATGGCTTTTAAATGGCTTTTAAATGGCTTTGCAGACGATTCCTAGATACAAGTGAGTCAGAAACTGTTTAAATATATATTTTTGTTTCCTTAAAAAAAAGAATTCTTTATCAAGTGACTATACTATTAAAAAGATCTATAATTTCTTTAGAAAAATGGCTTTTAAACGAAAGCTTAAACTTTACCTCAACTCGGTAAACATTTTATATAAAATTTTCAATTATTTTTAAAAAATCGCTGAACTTTTGAAATTTTACAAATTTATATAATCAAATATGCTTTATCTTTTTTAGTTTTGTATAAAAATAGATTTGTATTAAAGAAAGTATCCAAATTGTGACTTTGGAAGGCATCCAAGCAGACTTTGGAAGGCATTTCTTAAAGAAAGTATTCAAATTGTGACTTTGGAAGGCATCCAAGCAGACTTTGCAAGGCATTTCTTAAAGAAATTATCCAAATTGTGACTTTGGAAGGCATCCAAGCAGACTTTGCAAGGCATTTCTGTACATACGAAACTTTTAGAAGTGAAATTTCAATATATAACAAAGCAGTGAAATATCAATCCAAGCAGTTTTCAGTGCTCGTCTTTGTGCCTTTGAAAATTCACAAAAAGAATTATTTCCAAGACTTTCACAAAAGCCATTTTATAGAGAAATATTTAACCTTTTTAATAGTTTAGATAGAAATTTTGTTAGTGGCGTTTGGTAAAAAAAATTATAAAAACTTATGCATCAACATAATATTTTCCTATTTCTTTCTTTTCTACCAATTCTAATTCAAATTTTTTGACATAACTTGCAAAGAGCTTACTTGAAATAATGAAAAATCCATTCTTTATAAATCGAATCCAATCTTTTAGTAATTTTTAATAAAATTTGAAGGTTTTTAAGACCTTTACGGTTAACGGCGGGGCAAGTTTTTTTTGGCCAACTTCCATCCCGCTTTTGATACCGTATTTCCTCTAATAAACGCCCCCCCGCCCCCGCTCGTTCTCAGCTCCATTTTGAGATATTTTTATGTTTAATAAACCAAAAGATAGCCCTTAATGTCTTCTATCTTTTGGTATATTAAACATAATAATATCTCAAAATGGGGCGGGGGGGGGGGGGGGGCTGGGGGGGGGGGGGAGGGGGGGCGTTTATTAGAGGAAATACGGTAGGTTTTTGTTAAGAACTTTTGATAAAACAAATAGTTTCTGAAAGCTGACGTTCTAAGCTATCGAAATCTTATTAAAACTTTTTGATCTGACAAGTTTAAGGTACATGAAAATGAGCTGCAAGTTGGCCAAAAAACTTGCCTCTCCCCCGTTATCCGTAAAGCACCGAGAAATCTTTTTAAAATAAAATGCGAATAAATTTCTGTACATAAGAAACTTTTAGAAGTTAAATTTCAATACATAACAAAGCATTGAACCTAAAATCTCAAATCTTTGTCTTTAAAACTCACAAGTTCTTGTTTTTGTAAACATTAGCTTTTTTTTGAAGATTTTTGTTGAATGTTTAGTATCAAAATAAAGCTGATAAACTAGGCTTTTTGATAGAAAAAGTTTCAGATTGCTAACAAGTTTCAGTGCGCTGATATGACTGGTCAAACTTAGAGCCACGTTAAGCCTCGTTAACAAGTCTAGCGATGAGCAAAAACTGGATCAAAACTCAAAAACACCCCGTTATCCGTAAAGCTTTTTAAAATAAAATGCGAATAAATTTATGTACATAAGAAACTTGTTAAACTTCAATAAATAACAAAGCATTGAACCCAAAATCTCAAAATCTTTGTCTTTAAAACTCACAAGTTCTTGTTTCTGTAAACATTGGCTTTCAAAATTACCAAAAACAAACATAATCTTTCTTTTTAAACGCAGAATTTCGTGTTTTCTTTGAACAATCAGAATTCAAAGTCTTTGGGTATCTTTAGCTTGAAAATAACATTGAAAAAGCTTTCAAAGCTTTCAAAAAAAGAGATAGAAGCTTTGATTCTATTTGGGCAAAAAGCAAAAAGCAGAAGAGAAACGAGATGTGAGAAAGGAGTAGTTTTTTCCGCTTTTGTGGCTTTCTCTTTGGCCTCCAGGGCTCCTCGTCGGCCTTATGGCCTCCTCCTTCTCTCACAGCCAAACATTGACTGGAAGAGCACACGCTATCCCCTTTCCCCTTTCCCCTTTACCCAAATTGACCTTCTTTTTTACTCTTTTTTTAGTCTTGAATACTAACAACTGATACTCAATTCTATTTCTGATCACTTTTTTAGTATTCTTTTTGCATTAAATCGATCAAATCGCTTCACTACTATGTGTGAAAATTTGCAATATTTTTATTTTCTAAAAATTGAGTGATTTTTCCATAAATTTATCCAATTTTCAATGGAGTTTCAACTTTTTGATTCAAAAAATAATGTGAGTCAAGGAAATTGTCCATTGCATAACGATGATCCATATTCATGGTGAGTTTTAGATAATGATTATCATTACAGGAAAACCCAAATCATTTTCTGAGAATCACGAACTTTTGATGGGCTTTTGAAGCCAAATCTGAAGTAAAGCTAGAGCTGAAGTAAAGCTAGAGCTGAAGCAAAGCCAGAGCTGAAGCAAAGCCAGAGCTGAAGTAAAGCTAGAGTTGAAGTAAAGCCAGAGCTGAAGTAAAGCTAGAGCTGAAGTAAAGCTGACCTAGCATTGACTGTAAAAATCGTTCTTTAAACAACTCTCGTAACTTTAACCAAAAAAAATGTATTTATTGGAAACATAGGATTCTAAACTTACTCGAAGGACTCCTCGCTTTAACAGGATTGGCGTTAAACTGTCCATTAATTGCTGTCACTCACACGATCTCCACAATTCCACTGACTCAAAAAAGATTCTTGGTAAATATCAAAGAAACTTTGACAATCCTTAACAATTTAGACCTCACAAATCATCAACTTTGTTTTTCTTTCTGCTTTTCAATTAGCAAGAAGCATCTATTTATTGCTAGCCATTTACAGGTACAATTTTATTTCACACTTTTCCTTTTTAACTTTAGTCCCTGCTTAAACTTGGTCAATACAATTAATTGCAAGCTACAAGAATTTCCTCTTCTATTTTTCTATGTTCACTCGGCTCTTTTGGTGCTGATCGTTGCTTTGCAGACGATTCCTAGATACAAGTGAGTCAGAAACTGTTTAAATATATATTTTTTAACATTTTACCCATAAAAACTGTCAAATAGTTTCCAGAAAAGAAGCTTATTTCTCCAGAAAATGCAAATTCTACTAGAAATTTTTAGAATTCAGGATTGACTAGAGAAAAGCACGAATTCATGGTGAGCTTTTGTCTACACTTTATAGAGTCCGATATGAGGAATCTGAATCTGAATCCGAAATCAAAATCAACCAAATGATTTTTCAGACGTGTAAAAATTCAATCAAAAATTTGTAGAAAAGTCAGAATCAAAAAAATTGAAATTAAAAAAATCTAAGCTGATGCTTTAAAGGGCTCTTTGCCAAGGCCGCTTTTAGGAGGGTAGTGGCCCAGTGGATAACTCATCAGGGTGCCACACAGCGGGTGAGAGTTCGGTTCCTCTTTGAGCTTTTTGTTCCTTTTTCTTTTGGAATAACTTCTAACATTTTCAAGCTTTCTTTAATGGCTGAAATCGAGTTAGAAAACTCGGGTGAGAAAAGGACTAGTCTTGCAAGAAAAAGAAAAATCTATGAAAAGTATGTTCCTAATTTTGACCATAAATACATGCAAAGACAAGAACTGAGTCACAAAGTTCCCGTCAGTGATCTTAATTGGAACACTAGAACAATTATAGAATAAAGAATAAAAGCCTTTTAGTTTAGTTAATTATAAAATAAAGACTAAACGCTTTTAGTGCTAAGATTAACAAACACGATTTCCTCTCAACGTCATGTTCGGTCTGGCAAGCGTGTGTTATCATTAGTGCTGCTGCAATCACTTTATTTTTCACCGCTTTCGATACGGATCTAGAAGCTGAAACAATGACCAAAGTAATATTAATACATTTATTGTTAGTTTAAAGGCTTAAAGACAGTTTAAAGGCTTAAAGGCAATTTAAATTTCAGTGCTCTTTGCTTCTTGCAGTTCGCGAAACCGAGTTGGCTTTTTTATTAATCACTGCACTTATTTCTTTGTATACTGTAGCAGGTAAGAGGTTTAAAATCGATTTATTAACTTTATTAACATCCGTTTAGTTGCCACAATTTCCATAGTAGCCACAAATCGGCTTGGAGAAAAGACAAGATCAACAAATTTACTATTCGCGTTAAAAGATGTCTTATTACCAGGTAAGTTTTGAGATTTGACTCACTCAATCACAAATTTCACTAAAGATGAATTTTAGAAAGTGTTGCTTGGCAAATTAGTCTCATCGCTTCGGGAGCTGTCATTTTGTATCGATACGTTTTTGTGATTGATTGCATAGCGGTGAGTTGACATGGCTAACGATATTTTCGGGGTTACTCCCTTTCGGACAGTCACATCAGCGCACTGAAACTTGTTAGCAATTTGAAATTCTTTCTATCAAAAAGCCTAGTTTATCAGCTTTATTTTGATACCAAAAATTCAGTAAAATTCTTTAAAATAATACTCAAAAAATCATCTTAAAACTTAAAATTACTACCCTAGGCCTGGGTAAGGCCTCTTAAGTATCGATAACTTTTTAAAGTACTTTTTTTGAAGATTTTTGTTGAATGTTTAGTATCAAAATAAAGCTGATAAACTAGGCTTTTTGATAGAAAAAGTTTCAGATTGTGAACAAGTTTCAGTGCGCTGATATGACTGGTCAAACTTAGAGCCACGTTAAGCCTCGTTAACAAGTCTAGCGATGAGCAAAAACTGGATCAGAACTCAAAAGCTCAAAATCCTGTTTAATCAAGTAAACTAAATCCAATTTAGAAGTCAAGAATTGGTTTGGTTTTTGTTTGTTTTCAGTTTTGCGTATAAATCGATCATTTTAGTGTGTGAATTCCTTGCTTGAACTCTCCTTTATCCTTCTTCCACTCATCATCACCGTCATGCATCCAATTTTGACAATTTGGTTGGTTTAATATTTGAATAAATAAGTAATAGATAGTAATATATAAAATTTGAAGCTGTATTACCTTTTAAAAATTGCTGCAAGCCTATTCGAAAGATCAAAACTTTCAGGAACATTCCCGCTTTCAGAGACGCGGTGAGCCTTGTATTTCCAGTGATTGGAAATGTTTTGCCCGAGGTAGAAAACAATCAAATCTTTTACTTATTCTGTTTTCACAATTCAATAGCTAATGTTATCCATTTCTAGTATCAACCAATCCCCGAGCTCCCACGAAGTCAGAGCCATCTTCCATGCACTCCAAAAATCTTTCAATACCGACCAAATCTCAACAAAAAGGCCACAATTGTAAAAAATAACGTTGAAGAGTTGTAAATAAATCGATTTGCTTTAAAAAAACGGAATTTTCAGTTCTTCTTTGTTATTCGAGTTTTGGAATTGAAAACTTGAGTTTTTTTGAAGTTTTCTGAAGCAAATCCGTGTCAGAACTTCATAAAAAGCTAGTTTTAAAGTCAAATTCTTAAATCATAAACTTTTTTTGCAAAAACTGTTCATTTTTCTATTGATCATCATTATATTCTTTTTAAAAAATATAAACTTGCATATAAAATAAGGTAAAACTCAAAGAAGTAACAAGAAAAATCTCAAAAATCTTTTAAACTTTCAAATTACAAATTTACAGCTGAAGATCTTCTTTCCATCTAAAAAGCAAAAATCGTTACGTAAACGGTTCTTTGTGCGACCGCGTAATCGCTTTTCTCTGACCCTTAAAACCCCCGGGTACAAATAGCTTCTCTTTAAACCATCAACAAAGTAAGCTTTGGCTAGGTGTTCTTTGTGTGCATGCACAATCGCTCTCGATCTGGCACACACCCCAGTTAGCTATTCCCTTTTCGACCTCGTATAATAGTGAGCTATCGAAATTTCCCGTTTTCCCGTTTAGATAGGTGTTCTTTGTACACGCGGACAATCGCTCTCGATCTGGCACACGCTCCTGATAGATAGCTATTCCCTTTATTCCCCTAAACGAGAGGGAGCGTTGATGGACCGAGCCGATTGTAATCCCTTTGGCGCGCTCAAACCCCAGCCCAATTCCCGCCATAATTTTACTGCTTTTCCACAAATTTTACTTAACGGGCATCCCAATTTCCCATATAATTCCCTCCATTATTTGCAAAAGTTTAGCTTACGCGATTATCTGGAAAATCTCTCTGTATTCACTCTCAATTGTGTCACGCTGCATAAAAATAAGTAAAATTGCTCGGGGGAAATTGTTAAACGTTTATATTTGATGAAAATTTACAGTTTATAACTGAAAAAATACAGCTAGATAGCTCTGATTGCGATTTTAAGCCACTCCCGACTCTCGCCACGAAACTCCGCTTACTGTAACTAAATGCTGACGTTCTTCAAACAACGTTGCTTTAGGACTTGTAGTCTGAATAGGTGGCCGGATTTATTAGACATAAATCTAATTTATTACTTCTTACAAAGCTTTTGATAAAGTTGAAAATTTTTTTCCTGATTTCTTTTTTTGATTTTAGAGATTTTAGAGATTGGAGATTCCAATGAGTTCCCTCAGGTGGATCGTCGGAGCGACGATTTTAGCCTTTTACTGCTTGCAGACAGGTTTAATTTGATTTTTAATTTGAAAAATTGATAAAATATAGATTTATATTGAGTACTAATTTATTATCTAATTTAGAAATTTGTCAAAAATTTCTAGAAGCGGCTTTGGCGGCAATGTCTATCGATTTGGGCTCACAGTTTATCAAGATTGGCCTAGTGAAACCGGGAATTCCTATGGAAATCGTTTTGAATAAGGTAGAGAATTTAAATGGATCTAAAGTAATACTTTTTCAAAACTGAAAGAAAAAATTAGAAACTTTTCTAGGAGAGTAGACGAAAAACTCCAAACATTGTGTCGATTCGAAACAATGAACGACTTTTCGCTGATGCTGCGGCTGCATTGGTAAGCGGGATTTGATTTGAATATAAAAAAAATCTCGATTTAACGATTTCGATATCTAAAAAGTGCTCCAAGCTTCTTGCGTAGCTGCCCAGAAAGGCAAACGATTGCGTTTGGCTGGGCAGCTATGTAGAAATCAATGGCGTGCTTTAGAATTTCAAAATCGTTTTATCGAGAGTCGACTTTATAAATATAAATAAAGTTTGTATTATAAATAGAGTCGACTCTCGATAAAACTATTTTGAAATTTTAAAAAACTCTTGATTCCTGCCTAGCCAATCGTTGGCCTTTCTGGGCAGCTACGCAGGAAGCTTGGGCCATGTTTTAGAATCGAAATCGAAACTTTTCTTCTCAGCGAAACGAATCGTTAAATCGAGAGTCGACTGTACTCTAATAGAGCCCCTATAGAAGCGTCGTGTCTAAGTTTTTCTCTCAAATAAACGCTCAGATCTCGACACCAGTGCTTTTGTTTTTACGCACTTATGCATCAAATGAAAGTAGAGAAAATGGGGAATTTCTTGATCTATTACACATATTTGTAGCATTAACCAGTGCTTAGAACAAAAGCTTATTTTTATCATTTTTCAATTCTTTTATTTTAAGCACTGGTTAATGCTACAAATATGTGTAATAGATCAAAAAATTCCCCATTTTCTCTACTTTCATTTGATGCATAAGTGCGTAAAAACAAAAGTACTGGTGTCGTGATCTGAGCGTTTGTTTGAGAGAAAAACTTAGCCGCGACATTTCGATTAGACGCTTCTATATGGGGCTTTTATTAGAATATTTATGATACTTTTTACTTAAGAATGAAAAATGAAAACAAATCCTGTGTGATCTTAAAGTTTTGAGTATTTATTTGCTATTGTAAAACAGTTAAATGCAAAATTGCTTCTCTATAAATGTAATGAATTTGCTTTTTTAAGTTATCCTTGAAAATTTGAATAGTATTATTGTATTTTAGGCTATTAAATATCCCAAATCTGCTTACACTTATCTATTGGATTTAATCGGGAAAAAAGATGGAGCCTCATCGGTGGAATCCTACAAAAAACGTTTCCCATTTGCCGCTATTCAATTCGATGAGGAAAGAGGAACTGTCTCCTTTCCTTCAGAGTACGTTTGATTCTATAAACTTGCTATTCTTTTCTTTAAAATAACAAATTTGTAAAGCTTTTATCCATTTTCTATTTTATTTGTTTTAGATCTGAAGTCTATAATGTGGAAACTCTTCTAGCAATGATTCTTTGGCATTGCAAACAAGATACTCAAGCATATGCAGGACAAACGGTTAAAGGTGATTTGTTAGAAAAGTATTGGGTTGGTGGAAAAGTCCTTTCGGATTTTTTGGGAGAGTACCTTAAATTTGTCCAATTTTGGCGTTTTATAACTCATCCTAAAGCTGAATTCAAGACGGATCGATTGGTAAAAACCGTTTTGAGATATCTCTTTTCTAAAAGTTTTTACAGCTATTTTAGTAAAGGGCGGCAGAGCCAAAAAATGGCTGTTTTCACGTTTCGTTAGTTTTCCGTGCAGAAACCTAGGCTAAAAACATGTGTTTGGTGATCAGCGTCAAAAATAACCCCAGCACAAATTTTCAGACCAAAAATTTTAAAAATATTGTCACCGGTGGAAGTCGAACCAGCGACCCCAGATCAATAGCCTTTCCGCCGCTTTTCGCGATTTTCCTTCGTTTTTCTCGTTTTTTTTGTTTTGTTGGTGCGAACTTTGGCTGGACAACTTTTTTTTAAAAACAAAAACAGAAAAGAAGGAAAACGCGAAAAGCGGCGGAAAGGCTATTGATCTGGGGTCGCTGGCTCGACTTCCACCGGTGAAAATATTTTTCAAAATTTTTGCTGAGGTCTGTGTCTAGGGGTTATTTCTGACGCTGATCACCAAACACATGTTTTTAGCCTAGGTTTCTGCACGGAAACTCACGGGAAACAGCTTTTTGGCTCTGCCCCTTACTAAAATAGCTGTAAAAACTTTGAAAGAGATATCTCAAAACGGTTTTTACCAATCGTCCGTCTTGGATTCAGCTTTAGGATGAGTTATAAAGGGCCAAAATCCGAAAGGACTTTTCCACCAACCCAATATTTTATTTTATTATATTATATTTTAGATGTGGTGATAACAGTGCCTGTTTTCTTTAATCAAGCTGAGAGAAGAGCTCTTGCAGCAGCGGCAAAAATCGCTGGTCTCAATCTCCTCCAATTGCTCAATGATGGTTCTGCAGCTGCATTAAATTATGGAGTTTTTAGAAGAAAAGAAATCACTGAACAAGCGCAAACGATGTTGATTTATGATATGGGAGCCTCGAAGGTTAGCTTTGAAAAGTTTATTGATTAGAGACTATGGGACTTTGTGCAAGTATTCAATACCACAAAAGTGCTAAGCATTGCTATGCTTGTTTACATGAGATCGGTTTAAGCTCTTGATATGTGGTATGAGCACATCTTGTAGAGCTTAGAAAGACGAGTCTAATGATGTAAAAATTAGCTCCTTATCAGCATTGTAAACACACTAAAACTGGCTTACAAGTTTTTGCTAGAGTCAGTTTTTGCTTTGCTGTCATCTTGTAGAGTGACTTAACTGGTTTTAAAAGAGCCCATCGATATCCCTTGGTGGTCTAGTAGTTAGTGGAATAGTTTCCCAAGCAAACAATCTGGGGTTGAGTCTCTTTTGAAGTTTTTTATTTTGCTTTTTCCAAGATATTCGAAAAAAAAGTTGTTATTTCTGTTTTATGCTTGATTTTCAAACTATTACTTATCTTCTAATATTTCAGACCACTGCTACATTGGTTGAATATCTTCTTGAAGAGGACAAAGTAAAGAAAGAAAAGAATCCGGTGGTGAGAACGATTGGAGTCGGCTTTGATCGAACCCTTGGTGGCCTTGAAATGACTCTTCGATTGCAAAAACACCTTGAGGAGATCTTCAGGAAAACGATTAAGGTTCGAAATTTGCTTCAGATTAGCAAAATATTTGGGCAAACTTTAGGCTGATACTGATATCGCAACAAATCCGCGATCGATGGCAAAATTATTTAAAGAGGCTGAAAGGGTGAAACAGGTTGGTTGGTAAAGAATCTATAAGTTTTTAAAATAATTTTTTTTCTGGAAATCTACTATATATAAAGGGACTAAGACATCTGTTTATCTGTCTGTCTGTCTGTCCATCTGGCCGGCTGTTTGTCCGTCTGCCCGCCTGTTTGTCTGTCTGTCCATTTGTCTATCTGTCTGTCCATTTGTCTGTCTGTCCGTCCGTCTGTGTGCGCTACTCCTCAGCTACTCCCAGGGGGACCGTTTGCCATGATTTTCGCGCCGTTGAATGGGGAGCTACATGTAGTTGTGCAATGTGCTTTTGGATTTTTTAAAATCACAATTCGAGTCGCACGGGGTGGTCGAACCTGAATCGTATGGGCGATAAACCGGCGCTTTATCCACTGCTCCACGGCGACAAAAGCCGCTGATCTCCAAAAAATGCGGAAAAATCCGGTTTCTCGGCTGGTTTTAGAATAAAAGAATATTTCCAGGTTCTCTCAGCTAACGTTGATCATTACGCGCAAATCGAAAGTGTTCATGAAGATCGGGATTTCAAAGCAAAGGTAAGTAATGTTAAAAATAGAGAAAATAGAAAGAAATTAACAAATATAAATGGTATTTAGGTGTCTAGAGAAGAGCTAGAGGGTTTAATTGCCGATTTGGAGCCGCGCTTCTTGCAACCGATCAATGATGCTCTCGAAATGGCTGATTTCACGATTGATAAGGTTCGTTAGATTGAAATCAATGTTAGAATTTGAATTTAATTAAAAACATATATGTCCAATCAATCATTTTTGTTTTGGAGCAGTTGAAAATCAAGCAATCAGGTTGATCAAATCGTTTTGCTGGGCGCAGCGACGAGAACGCCGAAAGTGCAAGCCGCGATTCAAAAGATTCTCAATGGAAAAGAGTTGGGACGATTCTTGAACACTGGTAAATTTGAAATCAATTCAATTTACGTTAAAAAAATTAGAAACCAAGACACTAATAAGTTTTCTAGACGAAGCCATTGCTTTGGGTGCCTCGTATCAAGCCGCTCATCTCAGCAAAGCTTTCCGAGCTTTGCCATTTGGTGTGCAAGAGATTCAACTCTATCCGATTCAGGTACACAAGATGATATTATCTTTTTGTTATTTATGATCTATATTAAAGCTAAAATATCCTAGAAATGAACAGTTTAGACTATAAATGGGAGTGGGACAAATGGGATCTTTTTTTTGCGCACCCGGACATTTGCGCACCTTTTTTTCCGCACCTTGCCCATTAGCGCACCTTTTTTCGCGTTTTAAAAAAGCTCTAAAAAGCTAATATTAACCAATTTCTATTCCAAATGTTGTTTTTCTAGGTAATTTTAGGGTGTAGAATCGAAATTTTGACATATCAGAGCGTGTGGAACCAATTTGAAAGACAAAACGGCTAGGTCAAATTACAGAAATTTCAAATTGTTGATTTTTCTCTTTGTATAACTCCGTCCGTTCGCTTCCACAAGCTCTGATATGCCAAAATTTCGATTCTACACCCTAAAATTACCTAGAAAAACAACATTTGGAATAGAAATTGGTTAATATTAGCTTTTAGAGCTTTTTTAAAACGCGAAAAAAGGTGCGCTAATGGGCAAGGTGCGGAAAAAAAGGTGCGCAAATGTCCGGGTGCGCAAAAAAAGGTCGCATTTGTCCCACTCCCCTATAAACCATTCTAGAATCTCATAGAATAAAGATTTTTAAGCAACTTCTTTACCCAAAAATTAAGCCAAATTTAGGCTTTTGAATGACAATAAAACCAAGAAAATCTATCATTTCTACTTTGAAAACGAGCCATTTATAGCCATTGTAATCTCGTTCAACGAAAAAACGTTAAATCTCAGTGCAGATAACAGAATTTGGCTTGATTTTGGTACCATTCAAAAGCCTAAATTTGCCTCAATCTTTTGGTAAAAAAAATTTTCAAAAATATCTATTCCATGGGTTTTTACAATGATCTGTATTTTTACAATAGAATTCTTGATTTAGGTGAGCTTCCTCTCGAAGAATGAGACCACTGGTGAAGAGAAGCAAGTCTCTCGGACTCTCTTTGGCGCAAAAACCCATTACCCAGCTCCGAGAAAAACTGTGTCTATGACCTCGTACAATGACGATTTCACCATTTCTCTCAACTATGGAAGTGTTCCTGGATTGAATAAAGAGCAAGAAGAGTGAGTGAAAAACTTCTAGACTTTTTTTACAATCTTTGACAATGTTTAGAGCCTATGGAGCAAGGGATTTGGCTTCGGTAGCTATTGGAGGAGTCGCTGAGGCAATCAAGAGTCACACCGCCGAAGAGGGAGCTGTGTTCAAGGTAAAGATTACTTGAATTTAGATATTCTTTAAATTCCAGGGAGTTAAAGCTCAATTCTATTTGGATCAATCAGGAATTGTTTCTGTGACGAAAGCACATGCAATTATTGAACTTCCACCAGTGATTGAGACTGAGCCAACGATAGCACCGAAAATTGAAGAGGAGACAAACAAAGAAACGGTAGGATTGATAGAAATTTGAATATTAATGCTTTTTTATTTTAGAAAAATGAGGATCAAGCCAGTGAAGAGAAATTAGAAAAAGAAGAACCAAGAAAAGATGAGGAGAAGAAAGATGATACTGAAGCTAAAGATACTGAGGAAGTGAAAGCTGTAAGTTAACAAGTTATAAGTTATGTTATGTTATAAGTTATGTTATAAGTTAAGTTATAAGTTAAGTTATAAGTTAAGTTATAAGTTATAAGTTAAGTTATAAGTTAAGTTATAAGTTATAAGTTAAGTTATAAGTTAAGTTATAAGTTAAAGATTTTCTTGATTAAACAAAATTAAAATTCAGAAGAATACGACAATCAAAGAGCCACCAAAGCCGAGATCAGTTAAAGCCGATTTGACGGTGAAAGTCGAGGAGAAGGATTTGAAACCACTCAGTGAACATGCAACACATTTCGCTATCGAAATGTAGGTTTATATAAGAATTGTCTTAATTTTTAAGCTTTAAATTTAAAATCTAAACCTTCAGCTTAGCCGCTTTTGAGAAAAAGGAGAGCGAGAAGTTGGAAAGAGAGGCGGCAATGAATGGACTAGAGGCTCTTGTCTATGACTTAGCTGTTAAGGTATCCAAAATTTTATATTATAAAAAAAGTACTATAAATATATGAAAGTTTTAGAAAGATTGTAGCCAATTTAATTCAAAAATTTTAGGTAGAAGACGGTGAAGAGTTTGCTGAATATTGCACTGATGAGGAGAAGCAGAAAATTCGTGAGGAGGCGGCTAGGCTGAGAACTTGGATGGAGGATGAGGTGAGGGATTTATAGAAATTGCTTTACAAAAGTTTTTAGACTGACATCAACACGAAAACGGAAGAATTCGTCGCGAACAAGAAAATCCTTGACGATCTGGCTGCAAAACCGAACAAGAGGAAGAAGGAGAGACTCGTTGGTGACAAATATTCAATGAATAAACTCCTTACTTCCTTGCTTGCTTCTACTTGCTTCTACTTTCTTTCTTTTACTTACTTTCTTTCTTTTACTTCCTTACCTCCTTCTACTGCCTTTCTTCCTTTTGCTTTCATCTACTTCCTTTTCTTCTTCTTCCTTCTTCTTCCTTCTCTTTCCTATTTCTTCTTGGGGAAAGAAAGCACCGATAGCCCGCTGGTAGAGCATCTGCCTGGTAAGCAGAAGGTCCCGTTCAATTCCCTTGATTTAAAACTCTTTCATTCATTTCTTTACTTTAAGAACTCTTTTGTAGTATAAAACTCCTTTAACTTTTCTACTTTTCAATTTTGTTGCTAAATTTAGATGATTTTGAAGAAAGAGAAAAAGAATCTCTGAATTTCGACAAATTTCAGGAATTGCCAAAAGCTGTTGAAGCCCTGGACAACATGTTGAATCAATCACATTTCTTCATTGATTCAGCCGACAATTTGACTGCCACCACACTCGATGATCCGGTGTTCACCATTGTGGAACTTGACGTAAGAATTCAGATAGTTGTTTTTGAAAAGTATGTATTCTTTTAGGTTTTGCGTAAAATGATCACTGATACAGAAACTTGGTGGACAGAGAAACAAGAGCTTTATGTAAAACAACAAAAAAATGAGGATTCTGTGGTGACTGTCAAGGAATTATCGTTAAAAGTTTGTAAATTCTAAATCAAATTTTAAATTCATAAATTTAGATTCGTGATTTGGATCGTGAAGTCAAGTATTTATTGAACAAGTTGAAATTTCATGTTCCAAAGAAAAACGATGAGAAAAAAGAGGAGAAAAAGGAGGAGACGATTGGGGAAAATGATGGAGAAGAAAAGAATGCGGATGGGGAAAAGAAAGACGAAAAGGTAACAACAAATATATCAACAAATAAAGCTTGAAAATGATTTCGCATTTTCATTGTTTAAATGGTTTGTAAGCTTATTAAGACCAAGCGCAAGCCACGTAATAGTAAGTGAGGGATGAACTCTCTTCTATCCAATAGCTTGAGCTTTTAAGATTTACTAATCTCTGTTTGTTTGTGCTTAGAGTTAATAGCTTTTATTAAGACTAAAGTTTTGCTCAATCTTGATGAAGGCTATTGATAGCTTTTATTAAGACTTTGGTTTGATAAGTCTTGATGAAGGATATTGATAGCTTCTATTAAGACTTTTAGTTTGATAAACCTTGATGAAGGATATTGATAGCTTCTATTAAGACTTTTAGTTTCATCAATCTTAATGAAGGCTTGATAATCTTTTGATAAATCAAGTTTACTGTGTTTTAAACTAAAATTCCATTCTTTTTTTTTCCAAAGAACCGTTTTAGATCGTCGACGAAGAGCTAAAAGAGAAAACTGATGAGACGATCGAAACCCAAGAACCCGAAAAAGACAAAAAACCCCATGATCCAGCTGAATTCTAGATAATTTTTGAACTTTTCCACCTTTTTTCGTCATTCATTCAGGAATTTCCTAATGGGTATGAATGCAATTTCATTCTTTTTCCGTGATTTCTAGGATTTTCCAATCAACTGTGACTCTATGACCCAAATTATCAGCTGTATCCACCAGAATTCTCAAAATATTTTGTGATAATCATATTTTTGTTAACTTATTCCTAATATCTTGTGATTTTTCTACTTCTTTTTTTTTGTATTTTTGTTTCCAATGAACTCAAAAAGGGTCTCTTTTGGTGTTTTTTTAAACTTCTTTATCTGTTGTCTCTTCATTAGGATTTATCTCTTCGTTATTGTTATAAACTTTAGAATGTTTGATCCAGTTGATACTGAGCCTATGCTACGGTAACAGATGCTACGGTACGGTACGGTACGGCATGCGGTAACAGAAATAGTTTACTATTAAAGAAAAATGTACAGGTTGTCCGAAAAAAAGATATCCTCAAATTTCCTCAAAATTTGTAGTGGCTCTTGGTGGTCACTTTAATGCCAAAAGTGAGGAAAAGAGGAAAAGAAAGATTTTCTCTGTGAGGAAAAGAAATCTTTTACAAAATTTTTCACCACCACGGTTAGCTCTCCAGTTAGAACATGAGATTTTTCACATAAAATTAAAACTCTCTACTGGCATTGTGGCAAGTTTTTTAACCAAACACTTCATTTATCTACATTATACAGAGTTTCATAACGTTGAATGGTTTGAGAAACCTCTTCTGGGGACATTCAGGCGCTTTGAGATCTCGCTCGCCTGAACACGCTTGAGTTCAAGGATCGATTGTCGATGTGGTGCTTTCACCATTCCTGAAAACAACGAAACAACCGTATTGAAAGTTAGTAATCATACTATAAAATAAGAAAAATACACAAAAACCATAAAAACAGGTAAGTAAAAAGTGATTCAACATATAACCGATTGGTTAGGGTTTAATCTTAGACGATCGCGCACTTTCTTGACATTAGCCGGAGTAAGCGCTGTTCGTTTTGCACCTCTTCCAGGATTAGAAGATCAAAAACTATTGCCCAGAGTTTCATAACGTTGAATGGTTCGAGAAACGAGGCTTTGGGGGACATTCAGGCGCTTTGAGATCTCGCTCGCCTGAACACGATGCCGCTTGAGCTCAAGGATCGATTGTCGATGTGGTGCTTTAACTATTCCTGAAAGCAACCAAAAAACCGTATTGAAAGTTAGTAATCATACCATAAAATAAGAAAAATACACAAAAATCATAAAAACAGGGAAGCAAGAAGTGAAATGAAGCTTTTGACATTAGAGTTGCCACCAAGAGCCACTACAGATTTTGAGGAAATTCGAGGCAAATGGAGCTCGTAATGGAGCTCATAATACGACGTTGTTGCGGTAATTCTTGGTCACCCTGTATAAGAATCTGTCATATAATGTAGAATAAAAGTTTTTCAAATTAAAGAAGTGTCCCGTTTTTTTTAAGGAAACGCTGATCAATAAAGTTTATGTTTTAGATTTGTAGTTATTCTAATATTATTATGCACGATGCCAGTAGAAAGTTTGAATTTCTTTTCCTAAAAGAAAAGACACTTTTGACATTAGAGTTGCCACCAAGAGTCACTCAAGATTTTGAGGAAATTCGAGGCAAACTTACTTTTTGGACACTATGTACACGCTTTTAGAAGACTTTTCTTTAAACTTTCAACATTTTTATGTGGTTTTGAGCAGGCTTTTGTTTCAAGAACGGACCAGGAAGAATAATCTATCGAAATCCTGGGCTATTCAGAAAAAGAGATGAAATCAGGAAACTTCACTTTGTAAATATCTTGGATTTTCTTAGCTTTGTGGGTTGGAGTTCCGTCTTGTTGAAATGTTTTTGATTCGTTTTTTGAATTTGATTTTTAAAATGCTTTTGTGCTCAGTCGAAAATTTCAGCTTTGAGGAGATCGAGATAATAATAAGCCACTGTTGAGGTGATCGAGCTTTGGAGGTGATCGAGCTTTGGAGGTGATCGAGCTTTGGAGGTGATCGAGCTTTGAGGTGATCGAGATAATAATAAGCCACTGTACCTATCATTATGAGCCATTCGCCATTCAGCCATTCTGTAAAGTCAATCTAACAATAAGCATAAACCAACAGCTTCTTCGATTTAGTTTCTATTTTAAATATGAGAGTGATCATTGCTATAAAATAGAAACAGAGAAAGGCAAAGGCTAAGCTGATCGGGATTTCCCTCGGTCAGTCTTTTCTGGGGTTGGGGGTGAATGCCGTAAGATGAAATGGGGATGAAATTCGAGCTGCACCCTAGCCAGTCCCATCTTTCTCTCTTTTCTTCAAAAGAGCACAAACGAGGAGACAAATTCCCACCCTCAACCCCTCTCTTTCTTCTTCTTTCACCAATGCTTCGATTAATTGAAGCATTGTAAACATTTTGTCACACTACACTGTACATTCTACAGTCACAATAATCGTGAAATCGTTTTAGAACTTAAGACATTTCTCATATTACTTTTTCACTCCATATAAAAGTTTTGATTGGTCTACAGACTAAATCAAAAATGTCCTAGGGTTTTTAAACAGCTAATGTCTTACCATTCCATCAACAATTCTATTGGTTCCACTGACTTTGTTGATAGAATCGATCTCACTTATAGTCAAAAGCAGAACCAGGTCTAACTACTGAACCTAGAGACTTTCTATGGATTAAGCCAGATCCAGAAAAGAGCCGTTAAAACAAACTATACTAAACATCATTCATTGATACAATCTTCCTTTGCCTAGAATGTCAATGTCAACATTTAGGTTTAAATTATCGTATTTTCTCTAATGGTAGTGCCCCCTGAGCGTTGCCTAAATTGCTCGAAATCTCGAGAACCGCTTATCAGAACCTATCGATGTGGGGTCGGAAAATGTAGGTGATGATGAGATCTTGTGGGGGATTTGAGTGTTAAGCTTCTGGGAAAGCTTGAAAACCGGAGAATAGTCATCAATTCGGCTCGCCGGGTGCACTACTATTAGAGAAAATACGGTATATATTGAATTCTTTTTATTTTTTTTTTTTTTTTTTTTTTTTTTTTTTTTTTTTTTTTTTTTTTTTTTTTTGTTGTTTAACTCCATAAGGTTTTTGTGATATTGACCTTTAATCTATATTTTCCCTAATAGTAGTGCACCGTTTGCCTAGATTCCTCGAGATCTCGAGAACCGCTTATCAGAACCTATCGATGTGGGATCGAAAAATGTAGCTGACAATGAGATCTAGTGGGGGATTTGAGGGTTGAGCTTCTGTGAAAGCTTGGAAACCGGAGAATAGTCATCAACTCAGCGGGGTGCACTATTAGAATACGGTAATCATTTCAAGAAAATCTTTTCAAGTCAAATTTAAGTAATTACATCTAATCATCAGTAAAGGGACTTAAGCAAGAATCTTTGCAAATTTCCTTATTTCAAAATGAGATAATGCAATTGAAATCAAATTTCCTTGATCAAGCATCATATCGAGAAATCTTTGCAACAATTCCTTTCCCAAGATCTTCATTCCCATTTCCCCGGTGAAAGGAGGGGTGGTAGAAGACCCAATTTCCTGCTGCTCATCCCTTCTTTTCTCCAATAGAAACATTTAGCGTAGTGTTAGGTGAAGAGGTTCGCGGTCCTCAAAAGTCTTTTTGTTCTTCTTCTTTCTCCTTTCTTCTTTCTCCTTTAACACTCTTCTTTTAAGTCTATTCCCATTTTTAGGGTCATTCTCTCCTTGTTTCTAAAATGAATCTATAGTATTCAATTTTTAAGTGAAACTAGTAATCTTTTGTACGAATTTGAGGCGATTAATGAAGCACTGAGTTCATTTTAAGATTTAAAGGTAGTTTAAAGTAGTTTAAATGTTAACTTATCTAAAAAAAGTTAATCTTATCGACTTTCTCATCTCTACTTTTCATTTTTTAACTTATTTTAAACAAAATTTTAGTAAAAATCTGATAGTAAGTCATCTTTAAGACGCTTTTATGAATGAATTTTGAGAAATTTATGTCTAAAGATTCGCCTTATAACCTTTGTAAATGAATTTTTGATTAAATTAAATTAAATTTGAATCCGAATTCTATATGAAAAGTCTTTTGAGTCTAAGAAAAGCAACTTAACGATGTTTTTGTAGAGAAACTTGTAGTTTTTATAGAGAAACTGGTAGATTTTGTAGAGAAACTTGTAGTTTTTCTAGAGAAACTTGTAACTTTTGTCTTTAAATTTCAGTCTTTCTACTTAGCTGTTATTCAATTGAATACTTTTATAGTAATATAAAAGCGAAACAATTCTTTAATATGAATTTTCAAAGCCTTATTCTCATTGTACACTCAACTCGTTCGTTTCTTCCGGCATTCACTGGTCACTCCTCCCCTAATCACTTTAGAGAGTTTCAATCGAGAAATCCACTTTCGCGTTTTGTAGGAACCGATCTCTCTGGGGACACAACAACGATAAGAAGAGAAGCAAGGAGTAAGCCTTATAGAGAAGACTCTCATTCTATCATTCATCCCTTCTTCTCTGAATGAACTCTTCTCCCTGATTGTAGTACGATCCCTGTTCATCTCTGGTTTTGAGCAGGCTTTTGTTTTAAGAACGGACCAGAAATAATAATCTATCGGATTGAAATCCTGAGCTGGGCTATTCAGAAAAAGAGATGAAATCAGGAAACTTCACTTTGCAAATATCTTGGATTTTCTTGGCTTTGTGGGCTGAAATTCAGTCTTTTTGGAATGCTCAAATTTGATTTTTAAAATGCTTTTGTGCTCAGTCCAAAATTTCAGCTTTGTGGAGATCGAGATAATAAGACATAATAAGCCACTGTACCGATCATCCTATCATTCATTCCTTCTTCTCTGAATGAACTCTTCTCCCTGATTGTAGTACGATCCCTGTTCATCTCAGAATTCAGTTCTTGTTTCAACATTTCATTTTTTTAAGTTCTTATAGGAAATCCAAGTTTACTAAAGGTATTTAAAGGCTTTTACTAGTAGAA